AGGAGCAGGAGCCTTCTATCTATATTGGTACCCTGTAGTCTGTCCCAGAGTCTGGTTCTGGAGACTGTATCAAAGGCTGCTTTTAGGTCAACGAAGGCAGCGTATAGTGAGGCCTGCCCTCCTCATTTGTATTTGTCAATGAGATGTTGTAACGTTAGACAGTGATCTATCGTGGACCTTCCGGGTCTGAAGCCCGCTTGTTCTATTGCCAGGATATCTTCATTCTCTAGCCATTCTGTAAACTTATTAAGGAGGTGCTTTGAGTAGAGTTTACTAATCACACTTAATAAGCTAATCGGCCTACAATTCGCTGGGTCCCCTCTGTTGCCCTTTTTATAGATTGGGACTATTATGGCTGTTCCCCATTCCTTTGGATGCGGCCAGTGTCATCTATGTAAGTGAAGAGGTTGGCTAAGAAAGGTGCCCACCAATCCGCCTGTGCTTTTATCATTTCTGGTGTAATGCCGTCTGAGCCTGGGGCTTTGGCCGTTTTCAGTTGGTTTATATATGATTTCACTTCAGTTATTGAAACTGGAGGCCATTTAGCCAGTTGTTCTATATTATAATTCCGTAGTGGAGGTTCAGCATCCTCGTACAGAGATTGGAAGAATGAGACCCAAAGGCTAGGGGGAATTTGTGAGGTTAAGAATTTGTGAGGTTAAGAAATAGTTTTATGGGTGCCAGAAGCTACCAGTTTCCAGAATAGTGTCTGATCTTTTGCTTTTGCCGCACTAATTAATTCTAACCAACATTTTCTGGTATAGGCATTCTTTTGGTGGCATATTAGGTCTTTATACTCTTTTTTTAGGGCATGGACAGCAAGATAAGCTTGATAGGCTTATCAACAACAACAACATACTAAACGACTAAACAACAACAACATACAAATAAGTGGGTATGAAAATGAAGAAACAACTTCACTTCAGCTGTGAAATTTATTTCATCTTTATTGTAAACACTCTGGCACAGGAAAGATGTGCAAGGAAATGGAATATAAAAATTAACCTTGCATGGAAATAATATGATGTATCTGCTTATTTTACACTTGCTTCAAATTTTATTAAGAATGCAAATTGAGGATTAAACATGTGATGTTTCTGATATATCACAGAGAAGTTCCGATTTGAGGCGTCCAAAGTATACATTTTATACTAAACAAAGTTTCCAGAATGTCTGCAGAGCTGCCCTTGAAAACAATTCAGTTGGACATATTTCAGAATATAAATAAGCTGTGGCTAGGGCAAAACTGTCCATGACCACCACTAACACAATGATCTTAACTGGTGAGAAGTACTTCAACGATGCAAGATCTAATTTCAAGATGGTAAGATTTTGTTACTTTAGTTTATTGTGCTTCAGAAGCATACAGAATGACTTTCTGTGAATAAGCCGGCTGTTATCTCAATTACACTGATAGGGAATGAAGGATGAGAGACAGCAAGTCATTCAAGGTTATCAGGCAAGGTTGTGGATGAGGAGGCATTTATAGCATTCTCTCCTAGAACTTGTCTGAGCTGCCACCATTGGCCATTCAGTTAGAAAGGGTTTATTTATTAAATTTATATCCTGCACTTCCTCCCAAAGGGTGGCAAACAACAAGAGTTAAAGCAACAAAAACATCTTAAAAACAATTCCAATACAGATGCAGACTGTACTGGGGAAGATCTCAACTTAAACTTTGTTGAAAGATGGAGGTATTCAGCAGGAACTGAAAAGAAAAGCGAGATAGTCTCTCTCTCTCTCTCATATTCAAATGAAGGGAATTCCTCAGGGCAGATTCCATAATACTAAAGCCCCCACCTCCAAAAGAGGTCCAGAGGGTGCTAACACAAGAACGGGCCTTTTCTGTGGTCGTTCCCCATTTGTGGAATGTTCTCCTCAGGGAGGTTTGCCTGGCGCCTTCGTTATATCTTCAGGTGCCATGTTAAAATAGCCCTCTTCCAACCAGGCCTTCAGCTGTTAATCTATTGGGGGGGTTATTGTAGTCCCCCTCCCTTTTACTATTATGCATTTTGTGTTTTATGTTGCCACCTGCCTTGTGGTCTCTTGAGGAAGGGAGGTATATAAATTTAATAAATAATAAAGGCCCAATTCATAGAATCAGAGTTGCAAGGGACCCCAAGTATTATCTACTTCAACCCACTGCAATGCAGGAATCTCAACTAAACCATCCATGACAGATGGCCATCCAAACCCTGCTGAAAAACCTCCAGTGATGGAAAGTCCACAATCTCCTGATGGAGAATGTTCCACTGTCAAACAGCTCCTACTGTCAGAAAGTTCCTCCTGATGTTTAATCAGAATCCCTTTTCTTGTAGCTTGAAGCCATTCGTTCAGGTCCTAGCCTCTGGAGCAGGAGAAAACATGCTTGCTCCATCTTCCATGTGACAGTCCATTTGAAGATGGCTACCATATCTGCTCTCAGTCTTCTCTTATCTAGGATAAACACACCCAACTCTCTTAACCATTCGTCATAAAGTTTGGTTTTCAGACCCTTGATCATCTTGGGTGCCGTAAGCTACAAAAGTTCCAGCTTATCAATACAGTGGTACCTCGGGTTAAGAACTTAATTTGTTCTGGAGATCTGCTCTTTCTTAACCTGAAACTGTTCTTAACCTGAGGTACCACTTTAGCTAATGGGGCCTCCTGCCGCCGCCTGCGTGCCGCCGCCACGCGATTTCTGTTCTCATCCTGAAGCAAAGTTCTTAACCCAAGGTACTATTTCTGGGTTAGCGGAGTCTGTAAGCTGAAGCATCTGTAACCTGAAGCATCTGTAACCCGAGTTACCACTGTATCCTTAAATTGTGGCACCCAGAACTGGATACAGCCTGACATTTGTTCCCATTGAAATTTGTTTCTACACTGTGCAGAAAGGATATCCTGGCCATGCAGAGCACAGTGATCGAGTGAATCTCAAGGTGTGAGATTATCTTTCAGGTACGACCACTTATTTAGGTTCCGAGATAGCATCTGATTTACAAGCAATTGCAGCAATTCTTCTAGAGTATTTTTTTTTAAGTGCTTACATATAAAGGTTTTATCTGAAGATCCCAGAAACTACAACAGGACCATGGGCACAGGGCAGTATGCTTACTATCACACTGATGCTATAAAGTTAAAACATTTTAACTAGATTTACAATTTAATAATGCCTTACTGCCACAGAAGCCTTTTTTGATCCTTCCAAATAACCTGTAAGCAGACAGCCAGAGGTGAAAGTATTTAAATCAGTAATCAAGTCCAAATGGCTGCAAGGTTTAACCAAAGGGTACTCTGATTCTACTCATTCCTTTGGAACAATCATAATTGCTTTCAAATGGTGACAGACAGACAGACAGCTCCCAGATGGAAGGGTCTTGAGAGCTCTGAACATATTTTGCCTTCTTCCCTGGAAAAGATTAATGTCAGGTAATTGACAGGCCCACACTATAAAGCTATTTCAGAATAATAATGTTTAATGAAGCCATGGTGCATGAGTGATCCCCTTTGAAATTCATGAACGTTCTGACCTTCTCACTTCAGGAAATAGTTCTCTGGAAAAGGTACTTTAATCTCTGTACTTCATTGCACACATTTTAAATGAAAAACACCCATACAGAGAAGACAATATTCCTTGACTTCATAAGAATCTCTGATCTTGGCCTCCCAGAGATGCATACACATTGTACAAATGGATGGAGAATGACATCTCTTGAAAACAAAGAAAACACCAAATGACATATCTTGCCTTGATCTAGAGACCCTTCTGGAAACAGCAGGCTGTGTAACTACTGCTACAAGCAAATATATCCCCTGCCACTATCAGCAAAAGCACCAATAATTTGCTTGGCAGGGTGGAGTAGCACTAGAATAATAGAATAGTAAAGGTGGAAGGGACTCCAAGGGTCATCTAGTCCAACCCTCTGCAATACAAGAATCTCAACTAAAGCATCCATACTATACAGGGCAGCATGCATTTTTGCGTGGACAGGCGGAGTCCCCAGGCGCACGTCCACTCAAAGGTCGCCCCCCGTTTTATGCGGGGAGCGGTCATTGTAGCATAATCTATCCATCCATCCATCTGGTATCAGCCTACTTCAGACACATCAGCTAGTGTCTAAGTCAGGCATAGGCAAACTTGGCCCTCCAAATGTTTTGAGACTGCAATTCCCACCATCCCTGACCACTGGTTCTGTTAGCTAGGGATGATAGGAGCTGCAGTCCCAAAACAGCTGGAGGGCCAAGTTTGCCTATGCCTGGTCTAAGTCACAGTCCTGACCAACCAACCCCCCCCCCCCCACGTGCATTCATTATAAGACTGGATCTTAAGATTAAAACTGTAAAATTTAAAATATTTGAACTCTTCCACCCCCCTTTTCTGGTTTCTGATTTAGCACTACGCAGATACTGTATTCCAGCTCAGTTAAAACCAGTTTTAAATTATTCATGTACCTACTTCATCACCATCACTGCTATCAAACATTTATTTGGTGCCAATATTATACAGTGGTACCTTGGTTCCAGAAGTGAGCGTTTCGGTTCTCGAATTTTTTTTAGAAGTCGAATGTGTCCTGAGTCGTGAGCTTCCATTTTTAGTGTTGCGCCAGCTGAGCCGCTTTGATGAGAGATCGAGATTGAAAGATTGCACTGATTGGGGCAGTGGGGAGAACAGCCTGGAACGGATTAATCCGTTTTGCATTACTTTCTATGGGAAAGCGCGCCTTTGTTTGGGAATGTTTTGGTTTAGTAACAGACTTCCGGAACGGATTAAGTTCGAGAACCAAGGTAACACTGTACTGTCCTTGCCTGGGAACCTTATGATGTGTTAGTATTATAGGATAAGAACAGATACGTGGAACGAGGGAAACAACTGTGAACGTAAGAGCCTGCTGTTTCCATTTAATAATTAACTTAGACAACTGATACTGCATGTTTAATTTTTGAAATCATGCATTTATTTCCTTAACTTGTAATATATGACTGCTATTTCAGTTACAATGGCAGAAATGAAAGAATAGCTGGCTGTTTTTTTCTTTCACGCTACTGTACATTTTCTTCCTAATTCACCAAGTTCATGGCTCCATCGTAAGAATAGGAAAAGAGCCACCTCTGGTGGCAACAAGCTGAAAGGTACTATGTGAATATCCTACAATACAGAAACTAATCTGCATGGCTATTCAAATGTACACCTCACTACTATCTCAGAAAGGAATTATAGTACATTACATAAACATTCCTTTTTTCCCTGGCCGTTGTCTAATTAAACAATCTGGGACCTTTTAAACTGTGGAGGCGACGGTGGGAAGGCTGTATTTGTTTGTTACCATGTTATGTATTTTTGTGTTTTTTATGTTGTAAAGCGCCCTGTGATTCTTGGATGAAGGGTGATATAGAAATAAATAAATTTCTTGTTTGGGTATCTTGTGGAATCCTGACAGATATTTCAACACACAAGAGCAAGTGGTAGGGCTGTTATTGCTTCTAAATGTCCTATTCATTGAGCATTCATCCCAATTTGTTTGCTCAAAGTTTGCAGGAGTTTTCTATGTTCACTGCTTTTTGAAGATTCATTCTTACCAAAAATAAAAAATAAAAATCTGCTTTTGGAGAGAGAGGGGGAGCAGATTTGTTGTGCAAGAACGTCAAATCCACTTTAAATACTACCCACAAAATAGTAACAGTCTCGAAGCAGCCTTTGCTGACTTCTCAGCTTCTGAAAAGAGTTTGCAGTCATGCAAGAAGCTGGAGCATAGGAGTTTATGGCTCTGTACCGCAGATACACCCCATTTCAGCTCCCAGTGCCAGTGAAAAACACTAGGAGGGACAGAGAAGGTTCAAATGCACTTTGTTTCTCTCTCTGCACTCACCCCACCCCCTTCAAATGTTGGAATTATTATTATTATTATTATTATTATTATTATTGTTATTGTTATTATTTCATTATTTATACCCCACCAATCCGCCTGGTTTTCCCCAGCCACTCTGGGCGGCATTAACTTGGTTTGAAGAAGGAAAATAGCAGCCTTTTGCCCATTTGCAGACTCCCTAACATTTTAATTGTGCCAGATAATGGGTGCTAGAGAGCCAGTATGATGTATTAGCTTGCATCAGAGTAGGACAGGAAAGATCCAGGTTCAAATCCTTACTCATGAAGCTCCAAGCAACCTGGTCCTAGTCGTGCTATTTCTCAGCATCGCCTGTCGCAGGACAGGATAAAACAGGAAGGGGGAGAGCCACGTACAGTCTTGAGCGGAAGAAAACATAAATGTGATCAAGAACTACAAAATAGTGTCGCCATATATAGCTATCCCATTCACCGCTGGATATTCAGAATAATATCCAGTGCTTTTTCTTATGGGGGTACTCAAGAGTACGAAGTACCGGCACAGTTTTTTCAAATGTTAGAAGTATGGCCCTTACTTTTAGAAGACATCTGAAGGCAGCCCTGTTTGGGGAAGTTATTAATGTTTGATGTTTTATTGTGTTTCTAATATTCTGTTGGGAGCAGCCCAGGGTGGCTGGGGAAACCAACCCATTTAGGCAGGGCATAAATAATAAGTTGTAGTAGTAGTTGTTGTTGTTGTTGTTGTAAGTTGTTGTTGTGGTTGTTATATTATGTAACAACTTCATGGTAAGTACCAAAACCTTTCCCTTTTTTCCCTAAAAACACTGCTTATAGCTTACTTTTCTCCCAGGGCAAACAGCCTGATCATAAAACCATGCAATACACTTGAACCATTTTAAACTGCTCAAGGAACTGCTTACTGCTTAAGGAACATACTGTACGTCCAACACTGAACCACGACAAAACTAATCATAGGCTCTCTACAAATAAGGGACTATCTTAAGGCTGCAGCTGTGAACGCAAAAAAAAGGGAGAGAGAGAAAGAAGAAGCAGCAAGCGCTTTGCTTGGGTACATTTCCCCTTTTTTTTTCGAAACTCAAAAGCTGCTCGAGCAGGAAGCTGATCTTCCGCCGGCCAAGGTTGTAACGTTGGGACAATATGCTTCAGAAGCAGGTGACTCGGCGCGGATAAAATAGATTTGCTTCCTCGACGTCGTATATATAAATTAACGGTATACAACGCCGCTTCCTCGCCCTGGTGCAAAGGCTCCTGCCGCTGGGCAAAAGGGCGCCAGAGGCGGAGATCCACTAAAGTCCCCGCGACACCGAGACGCGTAGCGAGGGGAGAAACTCGCTTTCGCTTTCACTCCCCCGGCTCTGAGGGAGAAGACGAGGCAGGGGCTGCGGCGCCGGAGGCCTCCTCACGCTCCCTTCCTCCGAATAGGTACGGGAGCCGCGCCAGCGCTGCGGGAGCCGGGAGAGTAGGTACAGCTCGCGGGATAAGGGAAGGGAGCGCAGGGAAGGCGGGGGCCTCTCCGCCGAAGGGGCCTAGCTTTGGCGCGCACCTCTTTTCGCAGTAGGAGCAAGAACGCTCCACTGCGCATGCTCACCCTCAGCAGGCCGCCGCCTCGCCCCCTTTTTTGAGGCGCAGCGCAGGAGGCCCAGGCCGGGTTTGGGGGCAAGGTGTCGGAGGGGCCTGGCCGCGTGCGTCGCCCCTACCCCACCCCTGTACCTTTCACCGTCATAGTCAGTCCAGGGATTCGTCCGCAGGCCGCAACACATGTTTTCTCCCCAACGGAATCATGGGAATTGTAGTTTACCCCTTCACAGGGAGCCATGTTTGCCCAGCACCTTGAAACTACAGTTCCCAGGAATCTTGAGGGGGTAGCTCAGGTGCTTGAGCTGTGGAATAAGTAGGCAGCCGCAACGACAAAAATGGCCGAAAATTAAAACTCTACCTGGAGCTGAGGAAAAGTTGCTTCTCCTCCACCCCACCCCCCATCATGCTAAAAGTCCAGCTCGCTTTGGTGGAATTAGTTGGCAGTAAAATGAGGACAGACCAAGAACTACTGGCTTCTAGCCTGCCCCAAGGGGTTCCATGTGTATCCCTGGGACTGAGTGCTTGGCATATGGGGCTGCAGAAACAAGCCTTAGACTTGTGCACCTACCTGCTGTGCATATTTTATTTATTTTGAAAGTTTTACAGATTCTCACAATGCTCTGTGTGGTCTATGTGAAAATCTGTAAAAACTTTTTTTTTAACGAACATAAGATGACTTAGGCTGTGCACACACCAAACTTTGAAAGCAAATTCATAGCCCATGTCTTCCCCCAAAGAATCTTGGGAATTGTTGTTTACCCCTCAAAGCTGCAATTCCCAGCAGTTTAGCAAACTACAGTTCTTAGAATTTGGGGTGCAGTGGTGCTTTCCATTACAGTATTGTTTCTTAAATGTACAGTATGGGGTATACACAGTGCTAGTTACATATCTGGGTAGGCTTGCTAAAATGAAAAGTTTTCCGTAGACATCTGAAATAATGTAGCAAAGGCACCTGCCTCTACTATCAATAGGCAGGGAGTATCAAAGTATAGGTGCCACCACACTAGAAGTTCAGTTCCTTGCACTTGCAGAACAGACATCATCATGGCATTTGTAGAAGGGCAAGTTCTGCAGATCAGAGCAGTTGAATAAGACATGTATGATGCAATGGAAGTGCTCCTTCAGTCTCCACTTTATAAATCCAAAGTGCATGGAATTCTGCGCTGTTGATGTTTTTCTGACACAAAAGATTGCATTGATAGGGAAAGCCATAGGTGGTATTTAAAAGGTTTTAAAAGGTTTTTCTATTAATTTAATAATGTTTCTTTATTAGATTTGTCACTGGATACAATAACAACCTGACACTGAGATTGCTGCTTCCAGATTATGCAGTTGCCTTGAAGAAGCTGAAAATGTTTCTATTGCTAGTCATTTTAAGTCTTGTTCCATTTTTGAGCTGTAATCTCAATAGCCAAACAACAGATTCAAGCACTGGAGGTGGAAGTAATCAATTTCCTTGGAATAAAAGTAGGCTTCCCAAGCATGTCGTCCCCATTCATTATGATCTTCTTATTCATCCAAATCTCACCACTTTAACTTTTACTGGACTGGCCAAAATAGAGATTATGGTAACTGAACAAACTAGCTCAGTCATCCTGCACAGCAAATATCTCCAGATCACTAAAGCTACCATCCAAGGAGCAACAGGATCCCCTGATGCTGATAAAGAAGTGACTGTTTTAGAATACCCACCATATGAACAGATTGCACTCGTTGCTACTGAACCACTGCAAATTGAGCACAAGTACATTATTAGCATTGAGTATTCTGCTAATCTCTCGGACAGTTTTCATGGATTCTATAAAAGCTCATATAGAACTCCAGAAGGAGAAGTAAGGTAAGTCTATTTTCAGTTAGATTTGTATGTATCTTTTTGACCTTCCTGTTTCCTATGATTCATTGCTTGTGTTTATAAAGTTTGTGTCATATAGAATTGCAAAACACACGCAAAAAACTTGCATATGTGAGGAGCTCCAATCCCGCATTAAATACCTGTCTGGAAGCACCTTTAGGTTGCAGTCATATGCATATTTATATCAAAGTAAATTTCATTAGCATAATGCAATCTGCTTCTTAATACACTGTTAAAAGTTTTTTAAATATCTCTTTCTTCAATGAAGAAATGCAAGCTGATTTCTATTCATTAGGTGAAATGTTCATCTTTGAATATTTTTACTGTACTACTATGTACTGTACTACTAACAAAGCATATATGTCATGTATTCTTTTTCTTAATTCCAGGGTGCTTGCAGCAACACAGTTTGAAGCAACAGCTGCACGTATGGCTTTCCCTTGCTTTGATGAGCCTGCATTCAAAGCTAAATTTTCTATTAAGATCATAAGAGAACCGAAACATCTTGCACTATCCAATATGCCCATTGTAGGTGTATACTTTGTATTCTTTGATCTGCCTAGTTGAGCAAGATAAAGCAAAGTAACGTAGAAAACATTACCGTTGTACACTATAAACCACATCTCGTAGGAGTTTATGCTCCTGTTGTGTTCACTTTTGGTGCTCACATAAGAAAGCAAAGCAGAATTTAAAAATGAATATATTCATGTGCTGGAAAAGTGTAAATCTGTTGAGTAGGGCTAGAAATAGGGGGCAATTCTCTCCTGCTAGGTTGCCCTTCTTAACTGATCTGTTTCTAGCTTCTTCTTAGATGTAGGTTTGCAACTGTGAAATGGAGAAAGCATTTAAAAGAGCTATGAGGGAGATAATATATAGTGTGCGCGCGCGCGCAAGACCAGAAGTAATGAATGTACTTCAGAGCTAGAGCTGAAATGTAATAGTTTTTACATTTTTTAGGTGGAATCCGTAAACATCGGAGGGCAGCTCATTGAAGACCGTTTTGATGTCAGTGTAAAGATGAGCACTTACCTAGTGGCCTTCATTGTTTCAGATTTCAAATCCGTTTCCAAGATGACTTCCCGTGGAATTAAGGTAAACTTTTCCTATCAACTGAAGTGTTGCATATTGATATTTTAAAATTGTAGCAGTTTCAATTTTTAAAGTAATTAGAGCCTAGAAAGGTTTTAAAGAAATTATTATGGGTTAGAGCTAGACTTAGTCATACTTAGAGTAGATCCATTGAAATCAATGGTGCTTAAATTGGTTGTGACTAACTCTGAATCCAACCCTATAGAATTTGAAATATTTTTTCAGTAGTTCTCAAAACGTCTATTACAATGCTATAAGAAGCAAAAGTTTAGACTTGCAGTGGTCGTGCTCCATTTGTTAAGCATCAGTTATATGGATAGCAGCCATTGCACAGCTGTTTACATTTGTTGGTAGAAATGTGTACCAGTAATGCTTAATTTTCTAAACTGCTGGGATAAAAATTAAAAAGCTTGAGTACATGCAGTTGCAAAAAAGACTGAGCATCTGGATAATGAGATAATGTGCCTTTAAATTAAAAAATAAGGCAGTCACAGGGCACTTCATCTTTCCTAGTTAGACTTTCAGTTTATCTGCACTAAAACACCATGAGGTAGCTTAGTATGAGATACATACAGCCACTGCCCCAGGGTAATCCTGTGTACTTCATTTCTAAGCAAACATTTGAACTTGGTCCCTATCCAAATTCAACTCTCTACCCACCACAGTAGCTCTTCCCTATAGAATCATGGAATTGTTAATTTGGAAAGTGCCCTGAGGGCATGGGCATAGACAAGAATTTTGTTAGGGAGTGGCATGACTTTGTTAGGGGGGCAGGACTTGGGGGGCAGGTTAGAACCAATATGATTGGTCAGTATTTCTATTGTTTTACTTGATCTAGGGGAGCCAACTGCTCCCCTGCCCCCACTTGGCCACGGCCATGCCTGAGGGTCATCTAGCTCAACTTTCTGCAGTTGATAGCCACCCAACCTATGCTTAAAAACCTCTAAGGAAGGAGAGAGCATCACCTCCCGAGGGAGACCATTCCACTGTTGAACAGCTCTTACCGTCAGAAAGTTCTGCCTGATCCTTAGTCAGAATCTCCACAAGCAACCTCCACAAAATAAAATTTTCTTGATTCCAGGGTTTGACAAGGTTAAAAAGGTTATATAAGATATAGATACTTTCACTGCCATTGTTAGTGTATTTTTTGCTAAATTAAGATCCACCTTTGGAGTCCTTTAATTTGAATGGATCAGGACTCTTTTTTTTTTAAATGATATTTATTTTTAAAAGAGTTTGTTTTTTTTAAAAGAATTACACAAAGGAAAAAACAAGACAGAAAAGGAAAAAGAAAAAGAAAAGAGAAAAAAAAAACACCATCATTCTCCAATTCTCCACTTTCAATACCTTCTTTCCTTGACCTCCTCCTCCTCCCTTTTCCTGTATCCTGTTTTATAATAATCACAGCAAATCCTTTCCATAATTCATAGTATTCTGTCATCACATTACCTTGATCTATTTTCATCTTATCTTATAGAAAACCTTAAAGTTTAAAACTTAAATCTTAATTTTTACCAACTTCTCCTAAACCATAACATTCTTACCTAGTTCTTTAGACATTTTTATAAGAGCCAAATAGTTTCATTTCAACATTTTCCTAACATTCATCAATTTTATAAAACAGTCCTAATGATAAAAATAAAAGAAAAAAGCAATCCAGTCTTCATCCAACGTCCCTTCCTCCTGGTCCCGGGTTTTGTCAGTCCTTTTTATCCTATTAATCTAGCACATTAACCTGGCAATCTTATATCTGAGGCCCTCAAGTCTCTTCCATGTCCCTTTCGTACCTCTTCTTTATATTTCCCTTTTATTCGTGGGAACTCCGGCTTGGTAGTGTTTTTGACCCTTTTCAGCAAGACGATCCCTTTTCCATAGTCCAGGATAGGCTCGATGTAGTATTTACAAGCATGCTCCAGATTCCCTTCAAAGTTGAGAGCCCCCACAGCTCCAAACATCTGGCGGCCCCTTTCCAGACTTGAAAAGTCCAAATCTCCCTGTAAAGGGGTCTATCCAACCCCCATTTCCAAACCAAACCAGATTTTATCTTTCCAAGTCTGATTTTTCCAAGTTCATTTATCAAATCCAAGAGTTTATATTCCTGCTGGGCCGCAACTCCCTCCGTCTCTGGCGCCCAAGATTCAGCAAGGTCCTCTTCTTTCAGTTGTTCTGTCATGGCACGCTCCTGTTTTGATTCCTGGGTGGGCTCCATATAGTTTCCCACTACCTGTTCAAAGGTCCTGGCCGCATTAGTCATGAAATCCGTCTTCTGACTTAACTGATCCAATAGGGCATTTATTTTACAGAAAGCACCCAACAGTGCTTCTGAAGACATTGTCCTACAAGGTCACAAATCCTTTCCCACAGTTGTAATCAGTGACAGCTGCAAGTTCCCAGGAATTAGTTACAATTTCACAGTTCCCCACTAGGGGGAAAAACTTCTGGTTGTTCTTTTTCTTGAAAACAATAGCAACAAAGTTTCTTTTTTAAGATATTTTGTCCATATTTGTTCTTTTAAAAGACGAAAGGAAACAATGGAGTCACAATGTTTCTCTTCTTTTAACTATCTGTCAAAGACATTTGTTTCTGGTCAATGAGCTTCAAACATCAGTTCTGACACCCCGCTCCAGGGTCAGGACAGTGGAAAATTACTTTGCTTTAGATTCACTTCTGCAGGTTTAAGCAGCTCAGAAAAGGTCCCCCTTCTTCCCCTGCTCAAGGGGGGTTCAGCGAAGGGGGGTTCAGCGATTTTAAATGATGAAAGTTGATCCTTTAAAAGTGATTTTTAAGGCTCTAGTTTGCGTTGTCTTTGCTTTGTTCTGACTACGAGGAAACGGGAGGGTGACTTCCTGTTTAAACCTTCCCGTTTCAGTACCAAATTAGGGTTAATTTTTAAGTCCAAAATACTATTTATTTAGACATTTCTTATTTGAAGTCCAAATATTCAATGTTCCAGTACTCACGGTTGGTTGTTTTAAATGCCAAATTGTCCCAGGAAAAAAGCAGCGCTCTCTGGCAACGACTATGCGGCTTCGCTCCGCAGAAAAAGCAATTGACTCACAGCACCGCACCACTTCCCCCTCTTCACTTCGGAGCCCGTTTGTGGGTTCCTTTGTGGGTTGGGGGGGCGCTAAGGGTGCCCGCCGAGTCCCACGGTCACAGGCTTCATCCGCCTGTGATTTCCAGAAGGGTCCCCGCTACGCCGCAGCGGAAAGACCCGTTTCATGCGGAGCTAGTCCCTCCAATTCAGAGGGAGTCCGCCATTGCCGGGGGCGCCACCCCGGAAGTGAATGGATCAGGACTATGTCTTCCTAAGAAACATATCCTCTGCCATTGGTTTTTACAGGAGTTTACCTATGCACAGAAGGTAGGAAAAGCTAAATCAAATGTTGGATACCTTTCAACTTTACTCTCATTTTAAGGTGTTAACAAATTAATTATCTTTTATATTTTCTTAAGTTGGAGTTCAGAATTCATCAATGTTTGTGTTTTGTTGTTGGTGATGATTTTAGGTTTCAGTATATGCTGTACCACATGTGATCAACCAACTGGATTATGCCTTGGATGCAGCAGTAAAACTGTTAGACTTCTATGAGGGATATTTTAGCATTCCATATCCTCTGCCTAAGCAAGGTAAACTCGCTACTTTACTTTTGATAGAAATGTTGATCTAAGTTACACATACATGCAAACGAAACCTACCTATGTATATGTTTACTTTCAAAGTTGACTTGTGAATTTATAAATGGAGTGAGCAGGTATGAGGGACAACTTTTTCAAAATGTATTTGCAGACCTTGCAGCTATTCCCGATTTTCAGTCTGGTGCAATGGAAAATTGGGGATTGATTACATACAGGGAATCTGCTTTGTTATACGATCCTGAAAAATCCTCAGCGTCAAGTAGACTTGGAATTACCTTGGTTATAGCCCATGAACTTGCTCACCAGGTAAGTTATCACTATTTTTATACATGAACTTGATAGCTGCGCTAGTTAGTGGATTCTTCAGTGTAATGAAGGCACCAGAGGATTAATTTAAAACAGTTGAAAATCTCTGCTATCAGATGTTTTCTCTTGCAGTGGTTTGGAAATCTAGTCACCATGGAATGGTGGAATGATCTCTGGCTCAATGAAGGATTTGCAAAATTTATGGAATTTGTGTCTGTAAATGTTACCCACCCAGAACTGAAAGTTGTGAGTATTAACATTCCAGTTTTTATAATACTAAAATGTTTCTTAAAATCAATGTTGATTGCTCACTGAAGATTATAGAACTATTATTATTATTGGAAATAAGTCAAACCAGCAACAATCACCTGAAAAGATTCTTGTCCATAACTCCAGACACCCTGGACCACAAGTCGTATACTGCTATTCATGTATATGGGGTGGGGCATGGGGGCAGCATGAGTTTCAGGGCTGGGAGACTGATAAAGGACACGTCCCTCTTGGGCAAATAAGCATCCTGGCATTGGCAAGCTAATTTGAGATAAAAGCTGCTACCTTATTTCAGGTGACAGGTGAAATAACATTCTTAATAGGGTAGCACTTCAGTCACCAGAATTGAGATAACATGTAATTATCCCACTACAAGTGACAATTAGCTTGCCAATGTCAGGATGTGTGTGCTGTCATCAACGCTGATGTATGAACGGCCTATAATTGTTTAACAAAAATACATCACTGTAATGGTTTTACATCCACTTTAACATAATTGTCACTGTCAATATTTTTCACATTTCATTTCCCCCTGATTTCACTGCTTACATTTTTCCTCTCTCTATATATATATTACACGTGTATGTGTATGTTCCTGCCAATTTAGGATAACACTTCATGCACTTATAAAGCAGGGGTCCTCAAACTATGGTTTGCGGGCCAGATCTGGCTGCCAGGGTCCTGAACCCAGCCCAACCCGGCAGTTACAGAATCCACCACCTCAGAGCCCCCACCGTGGGTTGGATCATTTTCTGCGTCTGAGCAGACTCAATTTTCTGCATCTCTGTCGATGTGATATCCGGTGCTGCGCATTCCCTTATATAGATATCCATCTAACGACCATCTCATTAGCCAAAAGTGTTGGTTTACAAACCCCCTCCGGAGAGGCTGGCCCCTCTCACTGCTCTCGGAGCTCGTTTACCGGTAACCTCCTCTGGCTGAATTCCCGGACAGACCAGGGAGATTTTGATAGGCGACATTTTCCCAGCGTGGGTAAATGCACACCCCCTCCTCCTGCTTCCCTAGCAGGGAAAGAAGAGTAGTCAGAAATCTATTTACATGATGTTTATTTCTGACATTACAGCACTACAGAAATCATGTCCAACCACTTCAAACTTCATCCAGCAAGTCCAACAAACTTCCTGTACATACGCAAACGGAAGGTCTCAAATTACACTCTTCACAGAGCTCTGAGAAGCCTGTGAACTTCCGGGAATCTTCTTTCCCACAGCTAGCCACATCTTGTGATGTCAACAAGCTGGCTGTCTGCAGCTGCGATTTTCTCATATACTGACAAAAAGCAGGCCCATACTTCCCATTGAAATACTTATAAGTTTATGTTGATTAAAATCATTCTTCATTTTAAATAATGTATAGTTTTTCCTGTTTTTTGTGCACCACAAATAAAATATGTGCAGTGTGCATAGGAATTCATTCATATTTTTTTCAAACTATTGCCCTCCCCCCCAACAGTGTCTGAGGGACCGTGAACTGGCCCCTTGTTTAAAAAGTTTGAGGACCCCGTTATAAAGGGAACTCTAGCACAAAAAAGCCTATGGTATAATAAGTATTAATCTTTAAGGTGCCACAAAACTCCTTCTTTTTTGTGAAACAGACTAACAAGTTTACCCCCTCTGAAAATTAGTCAGGTAATTTGAGGGGGGGGGTTTTCAAAATTTATTTTTCTTTTAATTCACAAACTTGCATGCTTAGGTACATGCTGTGTTTCAAAATCAAAAAGCAGTTGCCAAATGATGGAAAGGCAGGATATCAATCTGCTAATTAATTAATAAAGAGTACAAATATTTTTGTCATAGAAATTAAGTAAAAACACTGATAGCTTTTCAGCTATACTTTTAAATGACACACTAAAACAGCTAACACACAAGTTAAGACTTGCAAGAACAGTAAAACACAAGGACACTTGCTAGAGAGTGGTGGAACTTAATTGCCTTTACAAATTCACCAGAAAACAGAAGACCAGTTCCTAAGTCTTTCATGATACCCATTCTCCCTCTACCCCAAATTTATACAAATGACTACCATTATAATGTGTGAATTGTTATTATTACAAAGGTGATGGTATCTCCTGAGTTGATAATTGTAGTTCTTTGGTTTTGTTAACTTTATGTAAAACCTCTGAAAAATGACAATAAGTAATTTTTAAAAGTGACCTTCAAACCCTATTAAACAAGTACTTTGTTTTTCTTTTATTAGGAAGATCATTTTTTAAACAATTATTTCTCTGCTATGGAGGTAGACGCCTTAAATTCTTCACATCCTATATCGACCCCTGTTGAAGATCCATCTCAGATTCTAGAAATGTTTGATAGTGTTTCCTATGAGAAGGTAAAATTTAAAAAATTTTCTTATTTATGTATTCTTTCCTTAGTTCTGATGAGATTCTTATAAGCTCTCAGGGGCTCCATGTGTCCTAATATTTTGAGGATATCGACCCACCTTTTTGCCCTTATGCACAGTTCATTACACTATTTATTTTATTCTGTGTAAATGCACTCCTTCCCTCAACCATCAAACACATAATGAATATGTTCTGTAGCATTTGTTTTAATTTATATGGACAAAAATCTAATGTAAAAGCCAGAACCCAAAGATGAGAACTTTATGAAAGATTAGGGCTTAGGAGTGTCCTAATCAGAGCACCTGAACATCTTTTTGCTCCAGATGTAGATAAGCAGACATTGAAAAAGCAAGTGTAGAATTTATCGTTTCACTCCCCTCTTTTCAGGGTGCTTGTCTTCTAAATATGCTACTGCATTATATCAGCCCAGAAGTGTTTAGAGCTGGAATTACAAAATATCTGTCACAATTCAGCTATCAGAACACAGAAAACAAAGATTTGTGGAACAGCTTGTCAGGTGTAAGTATTTCTTGCACGTTTTCTACCAGCATACTTAGTGACCAATGTCATAATTATCAAAGCATTGCTAGCCAGAATTGCTCTTTGAGCGGTATTGTTGCACGTGTTTTGAAGCCTTAGGTACCTAATTTCTGAGTTTTGTTGCTAGGTTTGCCCTGCAGAAGCAGCAGGTCGAGGACAAAATGATGGGGTTTGTGGCAGAAGCCAGGAGACAATCTCAACTTCCGTGAGTTTGTGTTTCATTGCGTACTGTATTTCTGTTTAGAAATTTATAAATTTCTTACTAAAGAGGGAGTAGCCACCCTTTCCACGAGTGAGGGTGCATAACACTTAACTGATATTCAGAGACCAAGGAATCTGTTACTTAGGAGAAAGCATCAGCACCTCATGCTCTACATTGATGGTTTCCCTCTACATGAACAAGTTATGATGAGCCTCTGGCTCCCTTTCATGCCCATGAGGAAGAGATTGGAATCTCTTTCTGCTGATTTTAAGCAATCTGCAATTCTCAGTTAAATCCAGAGACAGTGAGCTGTAGTTTATTTAAACTATGGTTAGGAAGAAGGCATGATTGAACACTGGTTTGAGATAGGTTGTTCTAAAACCATACTTTAAACCAGTGGTGGCCAAACTTGGCTCTCCTGCTGTTTTGGGACTACAGTTCCCATCATCCCTGACCACTGTTCCTGTTAGCTAGGGATGATGGGAGTTGTAGTCCAAAAACAGCTGGAGGGCCAAGTTTGGCCGCTACTGCTTTAAACAAACCACAGTTCATCAGCTTCAGACGTCATGCAGAACTGCTTAGTTTAAAACTGGAAGTGAGAGTTCTCCATGATCCTGCACGTGTGAAAGAGGGGAAAGGATCTCTGCAACTCATAGATGTAGCCAGAAACTATTGTTTCTTATCATAGCTGAACCTTTCAATCTTTCTGAATTGTTCGAAACCTGTACTTCAGTGGAAATCAGATCCCACCTCCAACCAGCTTTATTCTTTGTGTGGTTAGCATTGATGCAAAAATGGAGCTGGTTTTTGTCACCATTTTAATGTTACAGGAAACCATATACTTTCATTCTTAAATGTTTCTCTGCCATACGTCAAAAATGTCATCCCACACTATTGTTAACTATGGAAAGTCATACAGATAAGACAGATTTGTAATTTTTATCTCTTTGCTGCTACTGCCCAGTGAGCAGCATCTCCTAGCATCTCAGTTCATATTTTTGTCCCCGATTTATAGCACTGGACCCAAAATTGGCTTCATGATGTGAAGACCATGATGGACACTTGGACATTGCAGAAAGGATTCCCAGTGGTAACTGTGACATTAGAAGGGAAGAAAGTCCATGTAGACCAAGAGCACTATGTGAAGGCTTCTAGTTCTTCTGCACCAACCGGGTAATGGCAAAGGAGCAAGTGAAGCTCCACCACTGGCTAACATTTAATCATAAAAATAAATAAATAATGCAGATTGCACTGTGATTTCTTAACTAGTTAGTATTTAGGGAAGTTTTTAATGTCTGACATTTTAATGTATTTTTAAATCTTTTGTTGGAAACCGCCCTGAGTGGCTGGGGAAACCCAGCCAGATGGGCAGGGTATAAATTATTATTATTATTATTTTGAAAAATCATATTGAATACTCTTTTACATCATACAAATAAATCAGCTGAGGGCATGCTAGACTTTCTAAGTGAGAAAAAGTTACAATCTCTAAACTGGAGACTGGTTTAATTTTGTCCTGTAGGGAATTTCACTTGTTACATTTCTTTGAGAGCACATGTGACTGATGGCAAAGCCTTAAGGAAACGAAAGCATTTTCTTAAAGATAGGTACTCATAGTAGAGAGTTAATATGGCAGGAATCATTAACCATCTCTGGAAATGCAAGTTTGCTTTCAAGTGTGTGAAAACAGACCTTGCAGCCGTAGAACTCTCAACAAGAAACCCCTCTTTACATCCTCCCAGTCATGCAGGTCAGTGGTCAGCTTAGATATGTGTTCATACAGGCTGTTGAAACAATCAGCTAATCATCATCGATTTTACTGTAGGAATCTGTGGCATGTTCCATTAACGTATATTACCAGTAAATGTGCTGAAGTTCAGAGGTTTTTGCTGACAACTAAAACAGGTATGTTTGACTGAATTCAAATGGGTAAGAAGCACAATTATGTTTTCAAGCTTCAATAATTTTATTATGGAAGATTATAAGAATTAAGAAGATACAGAATTAAGAAGATTCTGTAAGACACACAGAAGTTTTTATCCACAAAGCAGCTGTGTAGTAGACATTAAGGCTAGGTTTTTAAACAATTTTAACTATTGCTAATCAGTTATTTATCTGTGGCTGATAACTGTAAATGAAATGAGTCAATACTGCTGGGCAGAAAAATACAAGGTTGTGATATATTTTGTCTGTAGATGACATCATTCTCCCAGAAGAAGTGGAGTGGATAAAATTTAATGTTGGAATGAATGGTTATTATATTGTGCACTATGGAGATGACGGATGGGATGCCCTAATTCGTCTTTTGAAAGAAAACCATAAAGCAATTAGCAGCAATGATAGAGCAAGTCTCATCAATAGTGTATTCCAGATGGTGAGGTAAAGTATGATAGTACACACTAAATATCTCTTTGGTAAGCAACATGCCATTTTTGTTCTATACAACAGTAATACAGATAACACTACTTCATCACATAATAAAATGAGAGAGACACTCCTGTATCATTTGCAAAATTAGAAATCCAGAACTTCCCCAGTGACGTTGCTTAGGCCATTCCTGCGTGAATAATGGGAGAGTTGTGGTAGTACTAAGACAGTGAGAGTTAGAAAAGATAAGAGCTTGAGATCTCCCACCAGATGTCAAAGATAACAACAACTACCAGACTTTTAGAAGACATCTGAAGGCAGCCCTGTTTAGGGAAGCTTTTAATGTTTGATGTATTACAGTATTTTAATATTTTTTTGGAAGCTGCTCAGAGTGGCTGGGGAAGCCCAGCCACATGGGTGGGGTATTATTATTATTGATAATAATAATAATAATAATAATAATAATAATAAATAAATAATTTAATTTTATTATTATTATTATCATCATCATCATCTCAGAATTAAATACTGCTTCCTGTTCCAATAAACTATAATAGCTCTCCTAGTTCTTGCCCATTGACACAATGTCGTCTTGAACCAATCTTTTACAGACGTCACTACACTTTTTGCTAGCATAAGGAATGAGCACATACGTGTTTATAGCCTTCTTAGGCACAGGCCTTTTCCCTAGAAATTGGCCTCATGATATTTGGCACAGCCATTACAAGAGATTTATAGGATGCTCCCATCCTACTTTATAACAAAAATATTTCTTCCGAGTAGAAACAATACCTGCAACAAAGTATCTGTTGATACTTTCCCTTGATCCACATTGGGGAGGGGGAGTATATTGCAGAAATACAGCAAGCTCACAAATTTTGTGGTGGTTACATTCCTAAAGCCGAAATTGTATGTAGTCAAAATGCATTGGGTTCAATGGCAGGTGGCATTTCCAAAGTCATTTTCCCTGGAGCGCCACCCCTCTTCTGCCCCCTTTCTATTTCTTTGCCTTGTGCATAAAGCTTGAATGCACACAAGTTCAATGTGTACAAGTTGTGTATACATCTTGTAATGAATATGTTGTGTCAGCTAATGTACACAGCTGATGTACATCTCTGAGACAGCACATGATAATGAACGGCAGCAGGGAAGGTGCCTATTTAGCAAAGTAATTTGGTCCCTATTCCGGCAGCAGCCCTTGGTTGAGGTCCCAGAGCTGAGGATATCTGATACAGCCAACTTGCTTTGCTAAGCAGGGCTGGGTCTAGTCAGTGTCTGGATGGGAGACTGTCTTGAGAACCCCATGTATACCAACTTCAGTTCCATGTTGGAAGAATAGTGGGGTATAAATGTACTTTAAAAATACATAGCCAGAGACAGGAACTATTGTTGGTTAAGAAGGGGGCTGGCCTTCATGAAAGAGAGAGCATATGCATGCAGATCAGTACTGTTCTGATGACCTGTGGGCAGGATTGCAAAGCTGGGTTAATTCAGGAAGACCACAAAACCTGGTAAAAAGCACGAATAAATCTAGGACGTATAGGATAGAGTAGGAAGTATGCAAGACAGAGAAGCCTGGCAAGACAGATAATAAGCAACGTTGCTGCTGAAATCTCTTCATGATACACTCAACAGTGGATCAGCTGCTGGCAGTTTTAATGTATTATCATATTGCTACACTTTCCTGAACTCAGTGTATATAACACAACATGCGGACAGCTGCAGAAGTTCAACACTCCAAACCATGTTTGCTTTTGCACAATTTGCCATTGCGGGGTGCAAAAATTCAGGAAGGTTTCATTCATAACATTAGCTGTTAAAAAGGAAAACACTAAGATTAGTGTTGCTAATATGAAAAAACTCTATACACTGAATGGTTCAGCCCCTTTAACAAATATTTTAATGTGTTATTACTGACACTTTGTTTCCCACAGTGCCGAAAAGCTGTCGATTACTAAAGCTCTTGATTTAACAATATACCTACAACATGAAAGTGAAATTACTCCCGTGCTTGAAGGATTGGATGAGCTGATACCTTTGTACAAACTTACGGAGAAGAGGGACATGAAAGACATAGATAATCAATTAAAGGTAAGAAGGGGAAGACTGAAAAATAGCCATCAATACTTGCAGGCTGTCAGCTCACATACTGAGGTTATTGGCAATAATTTTATGAATGTATATGTGTTGTACTGTAGAATGAAAGGAAGCTGCTTTGTTATTTTGATTCTCACGGGATGCGAGAGTCAGTAGGGGCAGCATCCATCACAATATAGAGTGTACGATCAGCATGTCATTAATGGAAAGAAGCCAAACAATAACTGTTAGTATTTAAAGAAACAGCAAACACTACCTGTTTAAAGCAATTGGAAATTAGATAAGGTTAATATGTTATGATTTTATTTTAATATGATGCATGCTTCTTTTTTTAAAGAAAAAGTTCATCATGATGCAAGGGAGCAGGGTTCCCATTTATGTAGGTTGTTGTTTTTCTGGAACATAGATATGAAGCTGCCTCGAAACCATTAGCTCCTGTGTGCATGTGTTTTATAATCAGAATTTCAGGTGGTTAATTATGATACATACTTAAATCATTTATTGTTCCATTGTGTTTCAGTTTGGTTATTAAACAACTGCTTCCTTCAGCCATGGAAGTACATTTTGTGTGTGTGTGTGTGTGTGTGTGTGTGTGTAATTGCCTTCCCATTCTGCTTATATATACAGTTTTTAACAGATTTGGTTAAAAAATTGATTTCACGTGTATGTTTTTTTGTATGTTTGTGAAATCACTCTAGGGATACATAGTCAATCTAATGAAAAACATGACTGACAAACAGTCTTGGGACGATGCTGGGACAGTGTCTGAGCGACTACTTCGGAGCAGTCTTCTGGCGTTTGCTTGCGTACGAAAGTACCAACCGTGTGTGGACAAAGCAAAAGAGTTCTATACAAAGTGGAAGGACTCCGATGCAAATTTCCAGTACGTGTTTCTCTTTTGTAAGCAGCATAGCATCTTCAGGCTTCACAGGGCAAAAACATGCATTGTGGCAACTTAAATGCTGTAACGCCACCCCAATGTAGCATACAAAACCAGGGAAATAAAAAAAATCCTTCCAGTAATTTTTTAAATTTTATTTTGACTACAGCAGACCAACACAGCTACCTACCTGTAACTAAAACCAGGGAAGTTGCTGTGTTGTGGCTGCTCAGTCCAGCTGGGTGGGAGAGCATGAAATCACTGGATAGAGGAAATTTGCTATTACCTGTGAATTTGCCTTTTCAATGATTCTTGAGATGAGGCAGTCTGACTTGAGTAGTAATTTGCAATTGAATCCAGACATGGAATAATAGAATCGCAGAGTTGGAAGGGATTGCAAGGGTCTGTGGCAATCACACAGGGTTCCCGGATGTTTCACCGTCCATTGATCCCTGTGCCACCACTTTATTTCTCGCTGCCACCACCCAGGCCCTACCTGGTACAATACTGAGTCCAGTCAGGGTTAAATTGGAACATAAACTTCTGTTTATTTATTGCAGTTTAACAAGCATGTGGTTTCATAAACGATCTCAGTCAATTACAATCATGGGGTGCCTAGCCAGACCTATATCTTCCGCTACTTGCTCTCACTCACTAAACCACCTCTCAGATATTTACTTGTCTTCCCAGGTCCTAACTGTTCCTGACTCAGCTTATTTCGCTACACTAACTCAACCTACCCACAGACTCTATCCCAATTCACTCCCACTCCAACCAACCACCCAACTCCCAACGAACTCCCCCTTTGCCCCTCCCAGAGCTGGTTTTATAGTCCCTCTGACTCCACCCCCCTGGGTTCTGATTGGTTAACCTGTTTAACTATTTCACCTCCAGCACTCTCATATGTTAACATCACAGGGGCATCTAGTCCAACCCCCTGCAATGCAGGAATCTCAGCTAAAGCATCCAAAAGAGATGGTCCTCCAACCTCTGCTTAAAAGCCTCCATTGAAGGAGAGTCCACAACCTCCTGAGAGAGTCCATTCCACATAAGAAACCAACACCAAGAGATGCATGTCAGAACTAACCTGAAGCCTCCATTTGTTTCAGTTTGCCCAATGACATCAAGTTTGCGGTATATGCTGTTGGAGCACAGACGGACGAAGGCTGGGACTTCCTTTTCAGCAAACACAAGCTGCCCAAATTTAATACTGAGAAAAGGATAATTGAATCTGTTCTCAGCCTAAGCCCAAATAAGGAGAAGCTTGAATGGTGAGTACAGTGGAACCTCGAGTTGCGGACATAATCTTTCCCGGAGGCACATCAAAGTGTTCGCATCCAGAAGTGCCGCGTCTGCACACAGCACAATTTAGCGCTTCTGTGCCTATGCGAGTGGCGAAACCCGGAAGTAACCATTCTGGTACTTCCAGGTTGCTGCGGGACGCAACTTGAAGAGACATAACCTGAAGCGGACGCAACATGAGGTATGACTGTATTCTCTGAAAACATGAACGGCTTTAAATTAAAAGAGAGATGTTGTAAATGCAAGGCCACAGCCACCTGTATTTTCATCATCTCTTAACCATTGCAATGCAACAAAAAGCAACAACATTGTAACATTGGATTGGAACGAAGTGTCTCACAGTTAAAAGGTCAGTGCACACACCAATTGCACATTTTGTTCATGTGCACTGGCTATAAATGCTGTTTCACATTGTGGCTGTTCCTATGGAATTAGAAGCTGTAACGGGGTAAGGCAGGGCAGATCAGATTTTTAGGTGAGGTGCAGGAGACAAAGGTGAACAAGTGGTGTCTGATCTTCAGCTGCAGGCCAGCTTTTTCATTCTTTTAGGTCTGGGTGCGTTCTGAGCGTTCTGTCTCCCACTGCTCGTCTTTGCCAAAGATTTCAAAGAGAAAGAACCCTTCCCCACAGCACAGAAGAGATTAATCTGAATAGTTAATTTCCCCCTTTGATACAGATTTTCCCCATTTCAGCTTTTCAATCAAACTTCTCTATGGCCCATAGGCTCTTCCACATTTTGTAACTAGGGAAGAAACAGCCTCAGCCCAGTATACCCCCATCTTTCAGCCCGAAATCTAGCTTCGAAGGCCTTCTGGTGGTTCCCTCATTGCGAGAAGTGAGGTTACAGGGAACCAGGCAGAGAGCCTTCTCAGTAATCGTGCCTGCCTTGTCAGATGTCAAGGAAATAAACATCTGAAGGCAGCCCTGCATCTGGAGGTTTTTTATGTTTGATGTTTTATTGTGGTTTTGTAATTTGTTGGAAGCCCCCCCAGAGTGGCCGAGGCAACCCAGTCAGATGAGCGACATACAGAATTTATTATTATTATTATTCCTGCGTGTGACACAGTACCCCCTTTCAGCACCTTCTCTTCTTTCCATGCTGACTATATGAGAGGATGCTTGGGGGAAATGAAGAATAATCTCTCTGCAGCGAAAGCTAAGGGTATGAAATCAAATAGCCATTACACTGTGTACCATTTATTCGTACTCGAGTTTTCCTGTTCCTATTAAGGTAATAATATTATTTCCTCACACTGAGGTTTCTTTTCTTTGTTTAGGTTAATGGAGCAAGGTTTACAGGATGACTTAATAAAAATGCAGGATCTTCCGTATATTGTTCTCTCCGTTGGAAGGAACCCTGAGGGTTATCAGTTAGCCTGGAAGTTTCTAAAGCACAATTGGCAGACATTTGTAAAAAAGTAAGTTTTAAATATTATCGCTCCTTGTACTCCTGTTTATTTTCTTTCTAATATAAAAATATTTACTTCATGCACTTCTTCTGTTTGCATAGGTTTGAACTTGGTTCGAATACCGTTGCACACCTGGTTACTGGATTGACAAATAAATATTCCACAAAGGAACAACTTGAAGAAGTAAGCATATCTCGCAACCTGCATTATATGTCCGTGAGACTCCATGATTTCATTTTTTTTAAATTAATTGCTTTTCACACATGCATCTCAAGGCAATGTGCAGCAGCAGCAGTTGTTGTTTAAAGCAAAATGGACATCCATGGCAAACTGACAAGTTGTATTATTATAGGTTCTTGGAACCCAACATATAAATGCATGAGACATTTATGATACTTAACTGCTCATATGCTGTTCTGCTTCCATTTATATTATCTCTTTGTAAATCTGAAGCAAAAGGCCTTTGAAAACACTTGTAATTCATGTACAATTTGAACGACAGGCACGTTTCTTTTCTTTATGCCTCCATGACTGAGAATCTCTTATGACTAAATCCAGGCTGTACAGTTAGTGGCATTGGTACAGGAAGATTAGGATGCAGTCTCCTACAACGTTTTTTCTTTTTTCAAATCCCGTTGAAGATAATGGGAATAGTACAAAAATTTATTGTGGTATTTATTTATTTTTACTCAACAGGTAAAAAGTTTCTTCAACTCCCAAGGCAAAAAAGTTTCAGAGCTCCGTGCTGTCTACCAAGCAGTAGAAACCATTGAAGAAAATATTCAGTGGATGGATAAGAACCTTGAAAAAATCAAGGATTGGTTACACATCAATAGCAGAACAAGCATCTAAGCATGAAGCATGATTTCAGAATGAAGAATGGTAAGTTCTTGAAAAGATATGAAAAATGCTACTTTTGTAAACGTAAGTTTTTATAAAATTCTAAAAACTGGAACGCTGATTACTACATATATTTGAGCTTATTCTAATGACAGAGGTTGGAAAATATGAAATATACTTCCAAAGTGGAGGAAATAGCATTAAGGCCTTGCATGCATGTCAAGTTATGCATTTACAACAGGAGTGGTGAAAATTGGACCTCTCTTAGACCAGGTCTTTATGCCTCTCTAACTAGAGTCTGGGACTCCTACTAGGCCATTCCCTTCTCAAATGCTTGTGTATGCCTCTTGCTTGTGTGGATGGAGGAAGGAGAGATATCTGTTGGGATGTAGAAAATCTGACTTTTCCATAGCTGGAATGTTGCCAACTATACTGTAGCAAGTAACATCCATTACTTCACCTGCAGAGGATCAGGACCTTTTGATTCCATAGGTCCACTTTCGCATTATTTCTGAACTCAGATAAGGTAAGGTTAACTCTTAACTGCAGTTTATGCAGCTGTCCGTTTCAGACCACAGTCTCAGATAATACTGAACAGTATTTAACTGAAACAAGTACTTCTGATCTGATGACTGCCCCGAGAGGAGACAGTGGGTGAGAGTGGGAGCATGCAAGCCTAAGGCTTGCCCCCTTAATGAGAAGCCATTCTTCCAGACGCAGCTGTAAACTACAAGATCCAGTAAAATAAATGTGCATTGGGATAGAGGAGGTATTTCGGTTTGGTCGAAACCTGTAAAAGGTACCTTCTTCTAGACACAGCCAAAATAACTGCTGCATTGGGATAGAGGAGGTATTTCGGTTTGGTCGAAACCTGTAAAAGGTACCTTCTTCTAGACACAGCCAGTGTTCTTGTCTAACAATGGCAATAATAACCATGTATTAAGGACACAGTTCACAAACACAATTTACAAGGTAATACATTCTAAAACTTTATTAGTGTGACAGGCAATCTTAATACAGACTTTCAAAAACAGTCCGGTATTAACATTAGATTGTCAAGGACAGTCAAAATTCTGATGTCCCCAGAGGAACATCTCCTGCGCTTGCTCCTTTTGAAGTAAGTAAGAGCGATGGCAGAAAGTGGCCACGCTCCTGTGTAACTCCCATGCAGTTCAAAGGGGCTTGCACAGTTGATATTCCTCGCAGGCTGCGGCTTATATATTTGACCCATGGTAGTCTAGAGAACTAACTACCTGGAAGCAGACTTGACCAAACCAGGAGTAGCACCTTACTCCAAAAGTCAATAAAAAAATTGCTACTCATAATGCAAAGCATATCAGAACCTGCTGTTGGAGCCATAGCTTTTCTCACTGCAAGGAATACCAAAAAGGGGGGTGGGGAATAAAACATGGAAGTTGAGCAAGCATTGCATCCAAATTAGTTCACAAAGCACCTCTGTATTCAGCTGTGATGTGAATTTATACATCAGAAACAAGCTGTGTAATCTGGATTCTGGGGGTGGGGTGGGAGGAGCTATACCAGTGTAACTTATAGGAACATATTGGAGTCCTATGTGCATCCTTTCTGGAGTACCCCTATGCAATAGCAATTCAGATGCAATATTACGCCCTTTCTGCAAGCCACTGACAGGCGGTCACAATCAGAACTCAAGGTTTCAAATGAAAATACTAGCGGCACTGTTCATATTGAATACTATGTTATTAGAAGCCAAGGACTGAGAAACAATCGCTTCTACTCTTCTCCCATGTTTAAATCTTAGCAACTGATTACTCACTTCTCACTAACTATTCTTCAAAAGGAATACACGCAGGCAGATGATAGCCAAAACGCATTATATTCCAGAATATTTAGAGCATTCATTATACTAAAAAACCAAAAACCAAACCACAGCTTTTCTGAACTCTGCTGAGATTTGCAGGCACTATGTGTAGATTATGTGCAAAATTTGCAGACTTTTTTTTCTTTTTGCATTGCTATTAAATCCGTAGAAATACTTTTCTTACAAATATAAAGCGTCCGTTCCCTCTCATAACTGAAGAAAATTACAAAATAAGAGACAGTAAAATAAATGGAAAAAGGTCATCCTTGAAAATAGTAAGATTCATGCCTCCCATGCCATTATATCCAAATACCATGATACAAAAACCACCCGGGAGACTATCTTGCTTCTGCAAAATAGCTTCTTCTTTTCTTTTTTTTGTTCAAGTGCAGCTATCCACCAGCAAAATGAAGACTTTTTTGCATTAGCGCTGAAAAGCCTAGACAGAGAGGAAAAGAGAGCACATTATTTAGCCAGTAAGGGGAGGAAACGTTATCTCATAAAAGAGAATTCAGCAGGTTCCCAACAAAAAATAAATATGCAAGTTGAAACCACCAGCATGGTCTATATGTGGGCTCATGCAGACTTCCTTGCCATTTGTTCTGATTCAGTGGTAATCGGCAGATTTTCCTGGGAAAGCAGTAGGACAAAAAACCCAAAACCCTGCTCAGGCACAGACTTAGAAAGTGCAGACTCATGCCTGGAAAGCACATTGCAAAAGGAAGTTTGGATGAGCCCTGTGTGATGGTGTTTGTGAGGCTGTACAGTGGTGCCTCGCAAGACGAAATTAATTCGTTCCGCGAGTTTTGTCGTCTTGCGATTTTTTTCGTCTTGCGAAGCATGGTGTCGGGAAAGTTTTGGAAAAGCTTCAAAAATCACCAAAGTCTTTAAAAACCTCAAAAAAGGCTACCACACCGCGTTCTATGAGTTGCTCCTCGAAGTCAAGTCGCAACTGTATTAACGGTGTTAAGAAAAAGGAAGCAAACTTGCAAGACGTTTCCGTCTTGCGAAGCAAGCCCATAGGGAAAATCGTCTTGCGAAGCAGCTCAAAAAACCCTTTCGTCTAGCGAGTTTTTTGTCTTGCGAGGCATTCGTCTTGCAAGGTACCACTGTACAAGTATCAGCTCCCCTTGCCTGCCCTATTCAATGTAATTTGCTCACTCTGATGGTGGTTGCTTGCCTCAAGCGGAAAACAGGTGCTGCCAAAGCAAGAAACTTCTCTCTCTCTCTCAAAAAAGGAGAGGCACTAGAGGCTGCAACTGAAGCATACAGCAGCAATTCTGTATACAAGCATGAAATAGGTGAAGGATCTTCCAAGGACCCATAGGATGTTCTCTGAGAGAGGTCTCAAAGCCCCTCAAAGCTGCCATGAAAGCCTCTGCAGCAGTAAGAGGAAAAGAGAGGGATGTGCAAGATCCAAAGCCAACTTTGATCCAGATTCAACTCTCTTGACATGACCGTGAAATGCAAGAAAACTTACATTTTTAGACCCTTGTTTTTTAGAGCAGGTATTTTAATTTTCAGAGCTCTTGGGGAAATTAATACCAATTGATAGAATTCCTGCTACTTAACAGTATGTGAAATCTCATGCATTTAATTTTCAAAAAGTATTTCAATAATAAATGCTGGTGTCCTTTTTCTGGAACCATTCCAGCATTTTAAAGGTACTTTACAAAGATGCTTTACCCATATATAATGCATATTTCACATTAAAGATGCATGTTTCTCACGTTTTGCTAAATGCAAAAGTAATTTTGAATATACTGTTTGAAGGACAATTTAGCATGCCAGGTGCAGTGTGAAACACAAGCATACTCAGAGCTTTTACTAATCTAAAGTGCAACCAACCAATAGTCAGTCGGTTTCTTGGTTGAACTGCACTTAGAATATTCTATGTAGAAAACAGCTCTGCACATGCAGTATATAAATATTGTGGGTCAGTCCACTCATTAAGAGTTTGGTAGATGTGAAGCCTCACAAACAAGCTATCTCGGCCTATACTGACTCCAGGAATAAGGGATGGGGTACCTTAGAGCTAAACAGGCAACTGTAACCTGAAACAGCTTCTAACCCTCTTACAGGGCAGTGTTGCCAGTGGGTCTGGGGGAGAACCCAAAGGTGGAGGAACCAAAATGCACAAATCTCTGCTGGGTGCACAATGGAAGGGAGTGGAAACACGTATTTTCAGAAAAATCAATTCATTCTTCATGCATAAAGGATGCACACAAATTTGCATGATTAAGTCTAACAGTTCTTACCTGGTAACATTTAACTCTTTTTCTGTTTCTCAGATTTTGCACTGGAAGACTGCTCCTTTGCCTTAATGGGAAAAAGCAACAACCATGTTATTGGCTGGAATGCTGAGGTCACATAACAAACACCGTGAATAAATATTTGAAATAAAACACAGCCATTTAAGTAAAACAAAGCTTGAAATCAAAGTGTTTGCCATGAATAAGGAAGTGGAGAGACACACATTTGAAAGGGCTAAAAACTACACATGAATGGCTTTTCTGAAGTTTTGTTTTTATTTTCATGCATCCCTGGAGAGAGCCAGCATTTGGTCATAACAGTGGCACAGGGGAGCTGAACGCTCCCTTCCTTCAATTGTTTCTGATTAAAGCACTAGTTCTTTGTGAAAGAGGCTGTCAGTTTGAGAGAGAGTGGGGAATACAGGTATTCGTTTTCTACACACAAATGCACGCTAACCACCACCAGGAGGCCCACAATCCTAGATTGGGGGAAATGCAGGGAGGAAGAAAGAGTTGAGCATCCCAATCTTCCTCTGTGCCACAAATGTTGGACATCCTATGTAACACATAGTTTGGCACTTAAAACGAATGGCTACATTCATGATCACTGCGCAGTGATTATAGTCATAAGATGACTTACATGATCTGTGATTGCTATTTGTGGCATACATCGTTCAACGTAGCCTCGAGTACAACTGCATGTGTAACTGGCCTTCAAATTAGGTGTTTATTTTCACCAATCACAATTTTTTTACACTTGAACACAGCTCTGATCATTAATCAGTTAGGATTTAACAATTAAAGGTGAAACAGGGTGCATAACCATGTTGTACATCACTGTACAAGAGCCTAACACAAGGACAGCAGGCAGTTTACATTTACAGTGAAATAACAGTGGATCTAAGGTCCTGCAAAACAGATGTTTTGTGGCTAAAATGCCACAGATTAGGGGGAAGTCATAGAAATCTTGGTCCTCAGTTTGGCACTCTCACAACATACAGTGAGAGGGTTGGAATATACCATGAGGGTATGTGCACTATACCTCTTAAGACAGAACATGCCTACCCAGAATTCTCCTACCAATGTTCCCACCTCTCTTCATTCCCTCCCCTATTCTCAAATCCTTCCAAAAGTGCACAACAACAGCTTTGTGAAGATTTCTATTCCAGTGATGGTGGAAAAGGAGGACAAGCCTCCTGGCTTGCAGTAGATGTGGAAGACAAGTGTTGAGGAATTGTGCAGAGTGTCTCAGAACTGCCTGAAGTTTATAAAATGGGCCGTGGCTGGTCTAACTACACTCTGCAAAATTTCATCTTTCTAATCAACAATTTCTTACCTTTCTGGATTTGGATTTCTTTTCATCTTTTCTAGCTGGTTTTGATGTGGCAGCATCTTTTGTTTTTTCATCCTATACCAGAGAGAAAAACCTCCTGAGTATTTGGATTAAAACACACCTGAGTCTGAAAGAGTTTGGTAAAAGATTTTTTGAGGAAACTGTTACTTCCGCGAGAGCCACACAAAGTGGATCAATTGGGAGTCTGGAATGCTGACATGAATAATCTGGAAAGGCTGCACACCCAGGCAGCAGTTTGCAAGGTGGGGTAAACACCCTAAAGCTAGCCACTCTCTAAGGGCAAAACTCTGAGTTCCATATAGTTCCATGGTTCTTTTAAGGAGACACCATCTTTCTTTTATACAACTACTGAGGCTGTAATCAGAAGAGGAAAACAGTCTGAGGAGAAAGCAACTTCTCCCCCCCCCCTTGTACCCTACATACTGTTTCCCAATTAAAATTGCCCATCACACCAAAGCTGGTTTTATTCCTGCCAAAAAAGATAATGAGACTTTCTGCCAGTTCAAAATATAGGGTAGGTAGATGATACCATTTCATATATACTGTTCATGGGATAAACTCATCTTACACTCTGGAATAAGCTCCAGTCATTTCAATGGATGGGCACAGAAAAAGACACTTGGAAGAATCATGCATATTCACCATTGTGTTGGAGACAAACAGGCTGCCTTCTACAAAAAAACAACAACTGGCCCTTTGAGTGGTAAGAGAGGCAGTTCCATAAATACGTCCATGCTTGAGACAGCTTTATTGTGAGAAAAGGTCTTTAAATGTCACAAGAGTTTACAGTTTTAGCAAGCATAAGATATGTGCCCAAAAGGGTAGAGGGAAATGTGAAATAGAGCCAACCATTATTTTTGGGGGTCCAATGGAGAGATGGAAACTTCAACAGGAGGAGTTCTATGATTCACATTCAAGTGGTTAATGATTGCCAATAAAGCTCAATTATCTGCATGGATGTAATTAAGGGGTATTTAACACTTTCATTATATTGGCCTTTAAGAAACTCCGGCTAATGTTCCAAGGAGGGTAACCTCCATGAAATGAATAAACTGATTATTTCTGAAATCTTTGGATAAAAGCAGCATAAAGTCTCCCTTTTCTAGAGAAACTCTTTACATTACATTCAAAGCCTTATAAACCCAAGTGGAATCAACCTCAGAACAACCTCTTTGTGGCAGTCCTGTTAAGGGCAAGGCTGCCAACAGAAGCAGCAATGCTGAATGAGTCAAAAGAGTTTTTGCCTGTAGAAACACAGACCAGTTTTAAGATGTAATAAAGTCTTCGTTCCTTAAGGAGGCCAAAGCCCAAACTCCTGAAACAAAAAGGCAGTGGGAAAGTTAAATTCTGCAAGACAGAAAAGAAAATGCAAGGGCATCTACAGGTAGATGTCACTCTTGAGCAAAGTCATATGCAGAAAGTGGAAACGAGAAGGGGTGACTATATTTTTTAAAACAATGTATTAACCAGGCTAATTAATACTGTGCATCTTCAGAGCGGCACCAGCATTATTTTGCTCAGAGCAGTTGAACTGCAAATAAAAACAGCAGGAATCTCATTTGTCAGTTGCCTATTAACAACCAGTTGCAGTTTTAGTAGCATGCATAAAAGCCTGTTGGTTTTTGTTGCAATCTTTGCTTTCACTTATGCTTACTTGGTGATTTAAGGAGCATCTTAAAAATGGGCTTCCTCACCTTTGTTGAAGGCTGAGAAACAGGAGGTTTCCCACAATTATCAAAGTCCCCTGAAAGGGCATCAATAGCTGCCGAGTCATCAGCTGGCTTCTGCAATAAAAAAATAATATTTTTAAAATGTGAGTATTAAGTGATATGGAAAATAAACGCCTTACTTAAACATAGCCTCCCATTTCCAATGTTTAAATGGTTGGTTCTACGCCCAAAAAAGAATTTTAAGCTTCTACTATAAGTGCCACCAAATCAGCAGGTGCCATTAAAATAAGGAACCTTTTCTGAATTATCATTGTACAGGTTTCTTTTTTTGAGGTCTGTGGTAGTCCCTCATTGGCCACAAGTAGAATGAATTGAGTTAGAACAGCAGTGTGGAGCAGAGGGAGGGCTACTTCATCTGCTTTTCTGAAAAACCATTTCATTTGGTTTTCATTCAAGTTGCCATTATAAGAAATTTGTAACTTTAAAAATTAGTGCTCAAGTTTTCTTTCCTCTCCTCTCCCATTCTTCTTTCCTTTTGTGTTGTGCCTTTTAGTTGGTAATCCTGCTCATGGGGATTATCTTGTTTGATACTCATTTTATGTAAGCCACTCTGGGAGCTTTTATAGCGGAACAGCCCTCTTCCAAATAGCTACGTAAATGCAACCCACAGGCAAGTAATAGCATTTAGTTAAGAGCAGCGCCTTCTTACCTTTTGTTCTTTGGGTTTCTCAGCATCCTTGCCTGTTGGCTTCCCCTTCAACAACAAAAAGCAGAATTTATTTACTTATTTATTTATTGCAGGATTTGCATCCTACAAAATTTAAAATTACCTATAAAATAAGATAAACATCTTAAGTTAAACCAGTTAGCCTAAACCTTTTCAAAATAAAGCCAGTTTTTAAAATGTGCATTATAAAATGTATCATTGTTTATTTTACTGACTTTATTTTATAAGGTGCATTATAAAATATCGTTTTAAAACAACATGGGGACTTGACTACCTAAGATCCACTGGTTCCTCATTTCTGTTATGGTAAAATGTGGCCCTCAATATATATTTTATATTGTAAACCACCCTGGGTTCTTTGGATGAAGAGCAGTATGGAAATATGATAGGACATGATATGATATATTATAAACATATATGTGCAAAATCTATCAATATAGATTAGGGGTGGCAAACTGTTGTCTCTCCAGATGTTGCTGGACTCCATCTCCCATCACCCCGATCAAGAATGGCCAATGGCCAGGGCTGGTGGGAGTTAAGGCTCAATACTGTCAGGAGGACCACAGGTTCCCCACCCTGGTATAGATGAATTTGGATTCAGAAAGGATCAGCTTACCTTCTCTCTCTTTTTATTTTCTTTTTTAAATAACATTTTATTGATTTTCCACAAATGTCAAAAAAACAACATCAACAACAACAACAATGCAAAAACAAAACAAAACAGATTGACTTCCCTCTGATCCCTTCCTTGGTTCTATTATTTGTCAAGAAGCTGCATGTTCATTGTCAGTTTACCTTCTCATCCGAGTCAAGAATATGCCTATAATCAGGAGGGATTGTTTCATCTTTCTCTCCAAGTTTGTCTCTATGCTCAGATTTAGCCTTTTCCTGTAAAAGCAACAACAGGAGGTCGTGTTCTTAATTTTTCTGGAACGCTCAACCCAAAGAACACAGTATCTAAACTTGCCCTCAAATTGTAGAAAATACAAAAAAAAGTTGCCATAAATTTTGAAAAAAACCAACCATGAAACAAAACCCCAAATGAACACAATTATCACACCAAATATTGTAAAAAGTAACATAGTCCATTAGAGCTTCCCTATGACAACTAAACACAAAATAGCGATTTGTGTAGTAACAACTTATTTTTAACATTTTATCATTGCAATGTTTGCTGCCCTGGGTTATCTCAGAAGGAAGGGCTGATATAAATTGAATACATAATAAATATTCCCCCCGCCTCCCTGCTTATTTGTGAACAGGCTGTACTTTATGAAAAACAATCCAAAGACAGAAAGAACGCTGCAAAAATAGAGGTTTATTATATTTACACACGTCCTTTGGCAATTAAAAAAATAGTTGTCACATTAACAGAAAGCAAATTCAGTTCAATTGAAGCCACGAAACACTTTCCATGAAAGGGGACCTCCTGAAATGCAAAAAATACCCCGCATAGACCCCTGCTTTCATAGCTAAATATACCTTGTACAATATGCAGAAATCAGAAGACCCTCACTCTGCCCTCAAGTGTTGCAAAAGACAAGGGAGGTAGTATGGTGGGCTAGCAATGGTGAGGGGGTGACCTTGAAAGCCATAGACTGAACCCCTAGCCCCCAAAGCAAACAAACCAAAACCACCACCACCACCACCACCACCCGGCTCAGTTCTCTCAGCTTCCTATGCAGATTTGGGAGATGAATATGGTACCCACAACCATGTCAAGTCAGCTGTACTGCAGGGGGGAAAGAAACACTTTTCTCACCTTTATTTTATCAACAAGTGGTTTGTTTTCATCTGGGTCAGGTTCTCTTTGCCCCAATGAATCTGCAAGAAGATCTGCTGCATCATCGAGTTCTTTCCTACCCTAACAGATTTGAGAAGAGCAAAAACAAAATATGCCACATGCAATCTCAGAAATAAAAAACGTCAAAGGTATCAGAGTTGCTTTAGTCAGCATGATAGAAAGTTAACTTCAGAGCACTCAAAAAACTTTGGAAAGTTACAAAATATGCATAGCCAGGCAAAAAAACCAAACCATTCAGCTGCAAGCAAGCAACTTTGGCTTCCAGTGTACCTCAACCCATAACTGTTTTATAACTCTCTGTAAAACAAATTTGATTAGCCTCAAACTATGATTCAACATTACTAAAAGCACTTAAGAGGCTAGCCACTCTACCTTAAAATTGAAAAATAGCATCCCATATAAAAATGACAATTATTGTTCCAAAGATGGTTATATGCACAGACATTTTGAACTCCAAAATACAACTGAGGGATATGGCTGCATCTTTACATGCACAAGGTCTCAGATTCAATCCTTGACATCTCCAGGTAGGGCTAGGAAAGACTGTCTGTCACTGAAGGCTAGTCTCCATCAGCCTGGTGCTTTCCAGCGATTTTGGACCACAACTCCCATGACTGTAGTCCAAAACATCTTAAAGGCACCAAGTTGGTTAAGGCTGCTGTAGACCACACTGAACTTGCTGGACCAATGGTCTGACTTGGAATAAGGCAGTTCCTATGTTCCTATAATCAACAAGCCTTTAAACGATAAGGAGGCCAAGCGTTTTTAAAGGGAAAATAAACTGCAGTCAAAGGCTTTGGTCACAGAAACTAAAGCAGGGAGGAAATATTATTCTGCTTACTGGGGTAGCTGCTGGTGGCGGAGGAGCCGATGAATGGACTGCAGAAGCAGAAGCAGAAGAGATCACTTCTTCGGTAGGTGCAACAGCAGGTTTGCCAGCACCTGTAGGTTTCTACAATAAAAACAATGGGTTCATAAACACGTGCCAGAAGACAGTGAAGGATAATCAGGTGGCAGGAACCAGGTATCTGTTTCACACTGTGTCCACATCAGTTTGGGCTACAGTCAGCTCACTGCCATGTGCCCTGCATCCCATACAGTTTGTTCAGATCGGTATTAAATAACAGCAAATCAAGAATGTGTGTACATTGTTCACAGAGAGTATCAGCAAGAACTTTCTGACAGTAAGATCTGTTGGAAGGGACTCGGAAGATGGTGGACTCCTTCCTTGGAGGTTTTTAAACAGAGGTTGGTCATGGATGCTTTAGTTTAGATCCCTGCGTTGCAGGGGGTTGGACTAGATGACCCTTGAGGTCCCTTACAACTCTACAGTTCTATGATTCTTTGTATGTAACTGTCTCGCACTACGCCTAAAAGTTAAATAAAGTCTTTTTTAAACACACACACACCTTACCTGAGGTGCAGCTGTTGGGGCAGCCTTTGCTGTTGGTGCTGAAGAACTAGAAAACCCTTCTGACAGAGCATCAATAAGTTCGCTTTCACTCAAGGGCTAGAAATAAATATATATATATTAGAACACAACAAATGTTCCGTCTTATTCTTGAAAACTAATTGGAAACCAAACACTTTATTACTTTTTCTCAGTTTTGTGTTGGAAATGTAGAAGGAATATGCCAACCATTTGTCCAGTCCCTGGTTGTAATAAATTTTGTGCTTCGTAAACTTTATTTTAAAAAAATGTAAATCAGCCTGCTAGAAGCATTTTTTCACCAACCTGAGGTTTTTCTTGAGGTTTTGGTAAAAGTGGCTTCCCATCTTTATCCTGCAGAGAAAATATGACACTGGTTAACTGCTACAAATGAGCTATGACAGGTGACCGAATTTGCCACAGTATCATTATGTATAAAATGCAATGCTAACCGATCAGAACAGTAGAAAGCCTGAAAGTGGTTTTGGACTCTATGTTTTTTGATAAGCACGTTCCTGCACTTTTAACCAACTGCCTGTCCTAGATAGGACCCACTCATCATGAATAGAGGGGTTCTTGCTACACTGCTCCATGCTTTTGTAACCTCCAAGCAGGACTCATATGGTGTGTGATTTACTCAGTGCTGCCTCTGAAGTTGACGGCGGAGCTTCAGTTACAGTAAAATGCAGCTGTCTGCCTACTTATGAGTATTAGAATGGATCAACTGCACTGCCCCCAATCATGGGTGTGCCCTCCATGGCCTAGGGCTGTATATTTAATTCCTGCTTCATCCAAGCAAGACAATCTCTATTGCTAAGAGAATAGACTAGAGTAGGGCTGGGACTTTGCTGATTATTCTATGAACAATTTCCTGAAAAACTGAACACCACACTCGCCCCCACCCTCTCTCACTCATTGACACAAAATGTTTTCTATCTTGTACCTAAGGTGTACAATTACATACAATTATTAGAGATGCTACTCATCCAATTAATTTGACTTAAAAGATCATGCAACAAGTGAAAATCAATCACCTTTGCTTCAGTTAATCTATAATCAGGAGGAATGGTTTCTTCATCTTCTCCAAGTTTCTCACGTTCCTCTTGTTTTGCTTTCTCCTGGATGAGCAGGGGGAAATGAAAGCTCTCAACATGTATAAAGAGAGACTGTCCCCAGTCATTTGGTTTCATAATAGTACATGTAGCATAGAAGCATATGAAAGTGTATACGCCAATTTATTTATTTATGTATAATTAAAGTTTCAATCAACTAAAACACAGCTTATTGGAACTGCCCACTTACTCTACTTACTGGTATTCCAAAAAATTAGTTTTAAGTCCAGTTTGCATTCTGTGGACTTCCTGTTTCCTGCCGTGAGAAATGGCTGCCTCCTATGAGCTCGGACCCCCAGGAGTGCCAGAAATCCATGGTTCTTTAACAATTTGGTACCCTCCCCCAAGAGAGAGTAAGAGAGGACCCAATAGTTACACACAGATAGATGTTTGATACGCCCCCTGGACTTTTGCATACCTTCACTTTATCGACAGCAGGCTTCTTTTCTTCTGGGTGAGGCTCCACTTTTCCTAGACTTCCAGATAAGGCTTCCAGAGCTTCGTCAGGTACCTGTGAAGTCTAGAAATAATATTATTTTAAATCAGCTTAGTGCTTTGGAAAACAATGTTTGAAGCAATATTCTTAAGAGTGCAAACGATGGAGCGGCAAACAAATACATTTATTAAAACTTAACTACCCAAGTATTAGTTTTATGGGAGGTGATTCACTTTTATTTATTTATTTATTTATTTGTATACCATCTTATGCCCATAGATCTCAGGGCAGATCACATCATAAAATTACAATATAAAAACCACAAAGTGCATAATACAAACAAGAACAAACCAATAATTTTCCCCCTTCCACAACACATTTTAAAGTGCATTGGATGTCAATCAGCCAAAGGCCTGGTTAAAGAGGAATGTCTTCACCTGGCACCCAAAGGTGTATAGTGAAGGCACCAGCTGAACTTCCCTGGGGACAGCATTCTACAAAGCAGTATTAATATGATTAACTGACTGCAGGAGTGGCCCATGTGGTTGGGTGGAGCCCCAGAACCACCTTCTTGATACCAGCTTACATGGACAGGACTGGGTTGGAACCACACAAGCACACCAGTGGAGCCAGACCAGTTTTCCCTCTCCATTGGACTGACAGATCTCTACCCTTGTCATCAAATTCCCCCTGTCCCAGCACCATCCAAGGAAGCTGCAGTCACCCTGATGTCAACAGGATGGCTTTGCCTGACAGCACGGACTGCTATTGAGCAACTGTCTGCTTAGGATAGCCTAAGTACCTTAGTGCAGAACTTTTTCACAATTATAAATTAGTTTTCTGTTATGTGCACTGGCAAAATCCACATGGAATCTTTGCTAGCTTGGCCCACTTAAAATGAAGATCTACTTTCACACAAGGTTCTCTTAAATTCAATGGGACTTTAAACGTTCCCATTAGCAGGCTGCACTCATAGTTAAACACATCCAACAGTTAATGAGCAAAGGGAGAGAAAATCTACAATCTAAATATCCCAAAGAAAAGTAAGTAATGGCAAACAATTTTGTACCAACAGTTTGAAGCAATGTGCAGTGCATATGTATTAAGAAACCCCTGCAAAATCAGTCATTCTAATTTTTCTATAAGTGGCACTTGAACCTTTACTTGTTGACCTTCACAACTGGTTACTCACTGGAGAAGTTACTGAGGGAGCTGAAGATGCCACAGAAGGAGCAGCAGCAGCAGACACTACTTCTTCTGTAGAAATCTTTTTGGATTCAGCTGCTGAGGGCTTCTGAAATAAGATAGCAGGAACAAGATGAGTCTAAAAAGCCCAGGACACATATTTGCACAGCCCTCTAGCGGCTATGGTAGCTCATTTACCAGAAATGATGTATTTAGTGTTAACCGAACTAAGCCTCCTAGAGCAAAATATACATCAGAATCAAGTATACAGTGGTACCTCGGGTTAAGAATTTAATTCGTTCTGCAGGTCCGTTCCCAAACCTGAAACTGTTCTTAACCTGAGGTACCACTTTAGCTAATGGGGCCTCCTGCCGCCGCCACACGATTTATGTTCTCATCCTGAAGCCAAGTTCTTAACCCGAGGTACTATTTTTGGGTTAGTGGAGTCTGTAACCTGAAGTGTCTGTAACCTGAGGTACCACTGTATACTGGTCATATTGGTCAGAATCAAGTATATACTGCCAGAGTTAATGCTAAATACATTACTTCTGGTACATGAGCACCATAGCTGCTAGAGGGTTGCACAAATTTGATAAACATCCCCTCAGTTCCTTCATCTAAGTTGTTTATAAAGATGTTGAACAACAGGCCCAGGACAGAGCCCTGTGCCATCCCACTAGTCACGTTTTTCCAGGATAATGAGGAACCCCATTAATGAGTACTCTATGGGTTCAGTCAGTCAATCAGCTACAAATCCACCTAACAGTTACTTCGTTCAACCCACATTTTACCAGCTTCCTCGCTAAGTATCCCTAGATCAGGGTTTTCCAAAATTGGGTCACTAGCTGGTTTTGGACTACAATTCCCATCATCCCTGACTATTGGGTCCTGCTAGCTAGGGATGACCCAAGTTTGGGAAACCCTGCCCTAGACTATGAACTTCCTCCTTCAAAGGGAGTGTGACTTCAGAACAGGCAAGTGGTCAGTTTCCTGGACCTGAAAGCCACCCATCCACAGGGCATCTGTCTTGGTAGGATTCATTTGCAGTTTAGTGGCCCCCGGCTAGCCCAAAACTGCATCCAGATGATAGCTCAGGACTTGCACATCCATGCCTGTTACATGGAAATCAAGCCAAGAGTCATCAATATACTGTAGATATCATGCTTCAAATATCCCAACAGGTTCGTTTAGCTGTTAAAAAGCATTGGGGACCGAACAGTGCTCTGTAGCACCTCAAAACATAACTTCCACAAGGCAAACACAGAGTCATTCAGTGCTACAGAGTGACATACACAGGTATGGCTGGTGCCCCCAAAATATGGGCTTGGCTTTGGATCCAGAAGAAGCTACTCACTGTAGAAACTCCTGATGGAGCTGAAGGTTGCACTGAAGGAACTGCAGGGGATGTGGCCACATTTTCTTTGGGAGTTTTGGGGGGCTCAGCAGCTTCTGGCTTCTGAAAGAAAACAGCAACTAATGGATTTTGAAAACTGGTATCTATTATTAGCTTGAGAACAGCAGAAATAGTAGCACCTAAACCTCCATTCCCAATGAGTAAGTGGGCTTCACAGGAGACCACAGCATGGATGGCCCACCCACCTGCCATCTTTGTGCACACCTCCCATGGCCTTATATTAAGCAGCTGATATAACTCTCAACCCTTGTGTGGCTTTGCACACCACCAGCCCTGGCCCCTGGTATGTTCCCAACCCACATTTTCACCTTGCTCTCACACTAAGTACACAAGTGACACATAGGGAGGAATATGAGGGAGGAAAGGAGGAACGGAAATGCTATACCTGAATTAAGCTTATTCCACCTTTAATTCTCTGCATCCAATGCAATGAAAGATTCTGAATTTTAAGGCAGGTTTCCTAAGCAAAGTAAACTCACCTTAGGCACATCAGCAGGTGTAGATGGTTTGGGTATTTCTGCGGGAGGAGTGGGACAGGCAAAATCTTTTGAAAATTCATCAGCTAGGTCAGAATCGCTAAGAGGCTGTAAAAACAAAAACAAAAAATGAGAGGAAGACCGGAACTGTGTTGCTGATAAAATAAAGAACAGACATAAGAAGTGGCATTTATCAATTATCAGAGGGCCTTCTCGGTAGTGGCAGCCACTCTGTGGAATGCCCTCCCATCAGATGTCAAGGAAATAAACAACTATCTGACTTTTAGAAGACATCTGGAGACGACCCTGTTTAGGGAATTTTTTAATGTTTGATGTTTTATTGTGTTTTTACTATTCTATTGGGAGCCACCCAGAGTGGCTTGGGAAACCCAACCAGATGGACGGGATATAAATAATAAATTTGTTGTTGTTGTTGTTAGAATACAATAGAGGAAACTTGAGATGAAGAAAATGGTGGTTGGGCAGCTGGAACTCAGATTACAGGGCCTCCATGGCATGCTTGCACTTCTTTTACAATGGATTTGAATCTGCATATACAGCAGAAATAGCAGGAGGTCAGTGTGATACTGACCACCTGTAATTGTAGGGAGAAAGAGGGAATCTTGGCTCTCCTCTCTCTGGGGATTCAGTCCACCCCCTAAACAGGTTAGCTAACACTGCACAAGCTGGCAGAAAAGATCACCTGATAAAGTTAGGAACATAAAGGCTGCTGCAGCATGTGTGCATGTATATAATGTTTGCAGAAAAAGCACCCAACCTTTGATTTGACTCAGCTGTATTAGAACTATTTTATATCTATGAAACACAAAACAGGAGTATGCCTGCATAATTATACCGCAAAACAGGAGTCACCAACATGGCACCCTTCAGATGTTGTTGGGACTCAAATTCCGATCAGCTGCAGCCAACATAGCCAATGGCAAAGGATGATGGGAGTTGTAGTCTAACAACATCTTAAGGACACTGCATTGGATACTCCCGCCATAAAGCAAAGTAAGTGTTTAAACACTGAGACAAAGATAAATGGCCGAATTGTCTTCAGTAATTGAGCAATAGGCATTTGTGCCACAATGCTAAAATAGCAAAAGAGGAATCAATTTAGACCAACACAAAATGTGCCTCTGAATTCAAATATTCATTTTGCACTGATCCCAAATATTAAGTAAACCATCTGTGTTAGAAACTGCCTTTTGAAGTTTACTATGCTTCCTTCTAAAACATCTCAGGCATTACGAAATCACAGAAAAATAATATGTAAAAGTTCAGCTTCATCATTTATTTACAATACAGGTGAAGGAAAGTAAAACTAATAGAAACACTTAAGAACCTTTGGTTTTTCTTCAGGCTTTGGCAACAAGGGCTTCCCATCTTTATCCTAAAAATAAACAGGCAGAATTATGGTTAACTTTGACATTTACACTGCACCAAATTTAAGATACTCTACATTGTTGTTGTTGTTTTATTTAAATTCTCCAGAGGGATCCAAATAGTCCCCGCAATGGGGGGGGGGGGAATATCCCCAGAGTTTCTCCACTGAACATATTTCATTTTGGAATTCCACTTATAAGACTAGCTAAGAATGCTGAGCCAAAAGAATAATTCAGGCTGAAGGAAGAGAAGAAACTACATACACTAGTGATTATTTCTGGTTTCACATTTCCTTGGCTACCTTTTGAAAATAACTGTAAGGAGTAGCTAAGAAATCATCACTCTTCTGATGTGAAAATGATCAGATGCTTCTATCCTCGCCTCCCCCAGACACACACAATTGCAGGGTCCAGGTAGGTTCATATGGGGGAAAGCACTCTCTAAGGGAGTGGTTTTCAACCAGTGTGCCATGGCATCCTTGGATGATGGTCATGGAGGCCCACTGGCAACCGTGGCCTCTGTCCTTCTTTCCTTCCCTCCCTCCTCTGATGCCCTCTCGCATCTCTGCCTCCCAAAGGCTCGCACAGCTGTTTGTTGCAGCAGCCGTGGCTACAAGCTACCCAGGCAAAATGGTGCCTCTGGGGCTGGTCAGGGGGTGCTGGTTGCCAGGAGCTGAGGCAACCTCGGAGTAAACAACCAAGTGGGTAAGGGGGCCCTGTCCACCTGTCCACCAGCCCTTGCTGTTGGAAATAGACTGATAAGTCCCAGGCCCTTGTGGGGCAGTGTGAGGAGGCACCTCTCTTTGGGGCAGAGGGGCAGCTCAGAGACCAGGGGTAGCAGCAATGGCTGCCCAGAGGGCTCCCAAGGAGAGGGGAGAGGAGGCGGCAGCTGAGGGAACACTCCACAAGGGAGGGTGTTTGAAAAAGGGTGAGATGCTGCCAGCTCTGCAGGCAAGGGGTGACGTAACTGGGCTCCTGAGCCCCACAAGGGTGCTGCAGAAAGAATGTAGTTTGTCAAGGGAGCCGTGGACTTTAAAAGGTTGAAAATCTCTGCCCTAAAGTATTTGGGTCCTAAGCTGTAGAAGGCTGTAGAAATCAGCACTGTGAATTGATAGTAGAAACTGATAGCTGAATTAACTGGGATAGAATCAGTTTTATGCATTCAGACTATCTGGTCCCAGTCAACCATCTGCACATGGGATTCTGCATTAGTTGCAGTTTCTAAACTGCCTTCAAAAGCATTCGCTTGCAATACTCTGATCTGCAGGTGGACAACAGAAGATGCATTTAAATAATTGGAGGAGGGGGCTTTCTAGCTCTAGCTTGCTGCTGCTGGATCATAGCCAGCAGGGAGTACAGAGAGCTGAAAGAGCTAATGTTTTTCGATTTTTCTTAACATGGGCTCAGTATAGTAAAATCTGAGATTTTATAGCATATGCAATGAAAAGTAGAGATGAGAATTTTACCAATTCTGGTTTTAATCTGTACTCAGGAGGGATTGTATCGTCGCGTTCACCAGGTTTCTTCTCCTTCCTTTCTTTGGCCTTTGGCTGAATAGAAAGAATCACAACATGTCAACACTTGAATTGCATTGCTGGATCTTTTGCAAGCAAGCTGGAAGTCAGGGTGATTGTGCCATAGAAATGTGTTAAATTTTAAACATATTTCTATGCATACACCCCCCCTCATATTTGGCATATTTCTGCTTCCTCCAACCCCCATTTCTCCTGCAGGCAACTCATAATCTTTGAATCTATATTTTTCCTTTTTCCTAAACTAAATAAAATAGCATACGTACATATTACAGATGCAAAAGAACTGTTGTAGGTTCTGTATCTGTAACATTTATTCGGGGGCAGAGGTGGAGGATCCTAAAAGTACTAATAAAAAACACATTTTATCTGAAGTAGCCCAATACATTTCTAGCCTTGTCAGCTTTGTTTCTCAAGATTAACTAAGAAAGAACTCTTATTTCTTTTATAGGAACTCTAAAAGCTTGAAGAAATAACTAGGCAAAACTTAAAATGCATTGGGCATTTTCTGTGAATTAAAGTATTCCTTTATAGCACTTTTTGCATATTTCCTGTTGCTTTTGCTACACATCCGAAGAGAGTAATCCAGCCAAAAGTAAGCATTTTTCAGCTGAATTACTATCACAAGCAACATTTTCATCATGCATTTAACACATTGAAGTCAATGGGGCACAGAATCCTAGAATTGTAGCGTTGGAAAGGACCCCAAGGGTCATCCATAATTTATGCATGTCTACATAGTTTCAAGACTTTAAGTGGTATCAATCATGTACTAATTATTTATACAGCAATTGATTCACTTGCAATCCAATCCTATTATATTTACTCAGGAGCAAGTCTTGCCTTGCCCAGCTGGGCTCATTCCCAATTAGATGTGCACAAGATTGCAGCCTTGGGAGTGTTTTATTTTTAAAAAAAGGTCATACAGTACTGCAAAACTGCTTGTTAACAGAAGTCTTCCCAGTCATTCTCACACATTCCCACATTGATGAAGCTACATTGTAGTTCAGAAAAGAAGCAGGCCACTAGCTACTACTACCATAGAATTCAAAGTGCTTTCAAAGGTTTCTGCTAGCAGCAGACAAAGCAATATTTTTTCCGGGCATGTTTTGCAAGATTTTGCAGTGTAAATAATACCTCTTCCACTTCCACAATGGAGCTAAGGTCTACTTCTGGTTCCGGTTCTGGCATGCCAAGCGTATCCACAAGAGCATCCAAGGCGCTGTCACTAAGGGCTGCCTGCATCGCAAAGTGATAAAAATGACCATGGGCTATAAAAACAGCATATGTCTCACGATAGATGCAGTATATACTGAGATCATTAGGACTCCAGTTACGGCAGTACACTGATGAATCTGGCATCCTTAAACAGCAGGATACTGTAATCTAGACACTCTGTCTAAAACATTGCAGTGTAGGAGGGTAAGCTGTGTATTCTTCAGCTATTGGGCAACATGTCAAGCCACTTCAAGCGCCATATCTGTAGGAATCTAGATTTTCTGTAGCAGAAGCTAAAATGTAAGTGAACCAGAACGGCTGAGGCTTGTGCATTTTGCCACTACTAAATCCATCTCTGGGTCTTGAAACTTGATCCAAGTATTTTATTTGTGGTCCAAGAGTGGTGAACTCAGACAAAGAAAATGACACTATATGGAGAAAGTCCACTGATATAAATTCCCATTTAACTAAATCACCTATAGGTTGTTGGACTGCTATCTAACTTCAGGTAAATAAAATGACTGGGTGTTATTTCCAGCTACTTAATGCTTATTATTCTCCAATATCTGGACGCAGCAGGTGAATGTGGCTTTTTTTAATGCATATATGAGAAATAAAATGTACCATATTTTGTTTGTTTGGCTTCCTCAAACCACCTCAAGGAAGTTTTAACTTTTGAAGGCAGGATAACAGTATTTCAAAACAAATAATATAGTGTTAAGCTCATCCAGTATCCTTAATATCAGTAGGCAATGGAAAGGCTATATGCAGTGATACCTTACTCAAGCAGAAAGTAAAAACAGAAGCCAAGCCAGCACCCAGGAAAAGCAAGGGAGCATTCATTTGTCAGAAAGGAAAAACCACCTCTTAGAGCAGGCACCCCCAACCTGCGGCCCTCCAGATGTTTTGGCCTACAACTCCCATGATCCCTAGCTAACAGGACCAGTGGTCAGGGATGATGGGAATTGTAGTCCAAAACTTCTGGAGGGCCGAAGGTTGGGGATACCTGTCTTAGAGCAACAAAGGGAGTTAAATCACATCCTGACTCAAACAGCCAATACAGTATAGGTAACATTTTGAATCCCTAACCGTCACATTTGTTTAAAAGGCTACTTATGACCACAATGAGGGCTATATTTCATGTTTGCAGTATATTTTAGTTTGGAACCTTTTTACTACAGATTCAGGCTGTGTACCCAAAGGTTCAAAAGCTTCTAATCTGTACTGTTCCAAATAATTTCACAATAGCAGCCAAGCTGAAGTTATTTCAGAATGAATAATTGATTAGTAAAAAGGTGAAACTTTTAAATCAATAACTGTTTCCAATCCACAAGAGTGTGCACACCTGGAATCTTATGCGCAAACGCACCATCATCATCCCCCAGATTTTAAAGGCATCTTGGCCATTGGACAAAGGGGGATGCTGAAGTAAAGAAGGGGGATGCAGGCAGGCAGGTGGTTTCTTAATAGAAATGTACCTTCCTCCAATAGGTTGCAGCCCAGTCTTCAAAAGCTTAAATACCTTTTTACTAAACAACAAGATTTAGCACTGACTCTTATATTACAGTTTGAGCATATATAATTTATGTGGAGCCCAGGGAGTCTTTGCATGCTCACCCTTTCTCTCTCTATAACTTTGTAATACTATTTTAGGATAGCAGGTTCTGTGTGGTTATTTCAGTGGGGTAGGGGATCAGAGTACTTAATTTATACCTCTTCCACTCTGGCTTTCTTTTCTTTCGGAGGAGCTGAACTGCTGATTGAACTTGCAGACTGTGCTTGTAGGAGTTCACCTTCTTCTGCAGGCTTCTTTTAAAACATGAAACAATTTAAATGTGTTGAGTTTTTCACAGGAGTCAGATTGTATGTCTAATAAAGAGGCCCTTTCAAAAAGATAGCAAAATTGGTACCTCTTTTGGCAAGTCTTTCTTCTCTCCAGCAGATGTTACAGCACTGCAAGTAAAATCAGATGACAGAGCATCTGCAAGGTCATCATCTGTCATTGTTGGCTAAATGAAAACACAAACTGGGTTACACTTTTAACCATTTGCCCAACAGCAGCTTACAGTTTGCGGGCATTTGCACATTTATGGATGCAGAGCTGTGCTGTAGTGTTGTCAAATCCTGAGCTAAATACACCACCTCTTACTTTGGCAACTCTGTGGAAGTTACAGTGGCTTATTTTCCCAGTCCTGAAGTAGCAGCAGAAAGGGAAATGGGGCAGAAGAACAGACACTGGAGTGAGAATCACTCTCCTCACATAAATATATTTATGCCCTGGAGTTTTTAGAAAAACAGGTTGCCATCTCCGGTCAAGAGCTGACAATCTACCTCTTGATGGGGAGACTGCTTATAGAAACAGGAGGATTTTGCAGATGATTTGTGTCGGCAACCCACAATCTGCTAAGGGAACTGCAGAATTACAAACTATTCTGAATGACTATTCTAAACTGACTCTATCAGTTGTTTGCAATTCTGCCCTGTGGCAGTCTGCATCAGCAATGGACAAATAGCAGATTATGATCTGGATCCAGATATTGATCCCTTGATTCAGGGACTGACGGGGTGAGCTCCCATTGCTTAGTCCCTGCTCCTGCCAACCTAGCAGTTCGAAAGCACGTCAAAGTGCAAGTAGATAAATAGGTACCACTCTGGCGGGAAGGTAAACGGCGTTTCCGTGCGCTGCTCTGGTTGGCCAGAAGTGGCTTAGTCATGCTGGCCACATGACCCGGAAGCTGTACGCCGGCTCCCCCAGCCAGTAAAGCGAGATGAGCGCCGCAACCTCAGAGTTGGCCACGACTGGACCTGATGGTCAGGGGTCCCTTTACCTTTACATGTTGTGGTGAATCAACTAGCATAACTATCTATTGCATGCAACATCTATCAATTTCTAGAGTCTAGCTACTGACTTCAGCATAAATCAAATGAAGAGATTTTAGCATTGGCCATACATTAACCACAGCTGTATACTAGAAGCCAATTAAGCCTGCACAGTTGTAGTTAAACCATTTAAACCTTTATATATCAACAATACCAAGACTACTCAAGTGCAACAGCACAGCTCACAATGTGTTGGAGGTATCCAGTCTCATTGACACATGTAGGTCATTACTAACTGATTTCAATGGGACTAAAGCATAAGTAATTTAGGGTGATATTCAGCTAGGTTTTTCTCAGAAATGACCCAATGAAATTAATTAACATGGCTAAGTTCAGTCTGTTAACAGGTCTACTCTGAGTAAAACCACCATCCATCCATCCATTGATTACAATGCAAAGTTTATAAAGAACTAGGCATATCTTCAAAAACCAGTAATAAATTTTCCATTTTCACACTTTGTGACAAATAAATAAACCATACCTGAGATTCTCCTACTGCCACTGGCGGGGGAACTGCTTTGCCATCTCCTTTACCCTGAAAAACAAAGTTTTGTGAATGAGTACTGCAACTAATGTGCAGTAGAGAAAGCATCCTAGACACAGTTTTGGTTTTACTACTTACCTCTAGGAGTTTTCTGTACTCTGGAGGAATTGTGCTCTCCCGTTTACCCAGCTCTTCTATATATAAGGAAGACATTGGGTCCTGCATCATGTAAAAAATATTGTTGACTCTTTAAATCAATGACTAATGTATAAATATATACAATTCATTCATATAAGATTATGATTTACTACAAAAAACAGAGAACAATAACATTCAAATATTTAATATTTGTTAACCACCTAAACTTACTAGTTGCTGCAAAAAACAACAACAATTCATTCAAAAACATGGTTAAAAATATAAACCATGCAGGTTCACAAGCAGTGAACCATAGTTTAGATCAGCTTTCCCCAAGCTGGTGCCCTCAAGAAGTTTTGGATTACAACTCCCAGTCATGCCTGACCATTGGCCATGCTGGTTGAGGATGATGGGAATTATAATCCAAAACATCTGGGAAGCACAAGGATGGGGATGACTGGTTTAGATTACCATGAACAAGATTGCAGGAGTCTCAAGCTCACACATTCCCTCCTCAGTGGGAATAAAGAGTTACACTTCCCCTCTATACCCAATCTGGAAAATTATCAGGTCCCAAGCCAGCTACTGCTAGTGTATTTTAAAAAACAAAAAACAACAACTGCATGTTAAATCCCAATATGTGTTTTCAAGTTTGGTCCTAACTGGGTTCCCTTGATTCAGGTGCTTTTTAAAAAATTGCTGAAATGACTTCTACAAATCTTGCTGTTTTTGCAAACACATTACGTATTTTTCTAAATTTAGAAGTTGGAAAATGGAGAGATCCAATGACAATCAATCTAGGCTCCGAGCCCAGTTTATGGTGAGGATGAAGATAACATAATTCTCAACAACAGGAAAAGAAAGGGAGAGGTCCAGTCCAGACAACCATCCATCCATTCTAAACTGTGTTTTAGATGTTTTCGAATAAGACGGCATGAGCCTCAGGCTTGTATGCGTCTCCTTCACCACTTTTCCATGTGTGTGAGAAGGAGAGGAAGAGAGCTTCTGCTTTCACTTTAGAACAAATTGCAGTTCCCTGCTAAGGATAAGCTCAGAGCTGTTGTTCATTCTTAGGCATCCTCTGCCTCCCAACAGTGGAGGTTGAATGTAAGACATCATGGCTAGCAGCAGGGCTTTGTTTCCAGCCAGAGCTCAGTTCCAGCACCTCTCAGGTGGGTGCCATTACCATTCTAAGAGAACAAGGGAGAAGTTCATGGTGAGCTCCAGCACCTCTTTTTCTAAAAAAATAGCAGCGGCTAATAGCCACTTGTAGCCTTGTCCTCCATGAATCTGTCTAATCCTATAAAGTACAATTCAGATCAAGTTCACTAATGATTTGAAGTACAAATTCATATACAAAAAAGGCTACTGCTACCAAAACAAATAAGCTCACAAACACAGGCCTAATAAATAAGACTGTTTAAATACAGGAGATCTTATACCGAAACTGTTGGTCCAGTATATTCAGGAGTAGGTGGCTCGTTTTCTTCAGGACCTCCAAGGGTATCAATTAAATCATCTAAGGCAGCATCTATGTCGGACTAGAAAAAAAGATTTTTATGAAGTACATGGCACTTCAGGTAACTTATAGATATCCCTCCCAAATTCAGCAAAAAATATTCCTGCATTGCAAGGGGTTGGGCTAGATGACACTCGTGGTCCCTCCCAACTCTATGATTCTGTGAAGTGATCTAACTCAGTGATGGCCAAACTTGGCCCTCCAGCTGTTTTGGGACTACAACTCCCATCATCCCTAGCTAACAGGTCAGGGATGATGGGAATTGTAGTCCCAAAACAGCTGGAGGGCCAAGTTTGGCCATCACTGATCTAACTAGACAGCAAATGAACTGTTGCTTACCTTTTCAGCTGGTTTACTTTCTGCAGCAGCTGGGGCTGGGGCTGGCAATTTGCCTTCTTTAGTCTGCAAATAAGAATGCATTTCTGAAAACTAAGCATAGGATTACATTTGCATCCGATTAATGCCAAACACTAAACTTACCTCTGCAGCTGCAACAGTCAAGCCTGCAGCTGCTACTGCTCCAGCTGTGCCAGCAGCTGCAACAGCTGCCTTGGTGGGCAATGACTTGTCATCAGGTTTAGCCTTAAGTGGAGAAAAGTTAGAGAGGTCCAGGTGAAACTTTGCCATTAATATTTTAAGGCAGCCCAACTACAACCTACACAAAACTAGGTTGCAGCATGGACATAATGTTTTCCCTTCCTGGAGTTTTAATTGCATGACAGCTTGGAAGCTGAACAATGGAAAGCGCACATATAGCCAGACATTACAAAGTCAGCCTTGCAGAAAAAAATTATCTATAAGAAATCACATTTTATTCAACACTTACAGGGAACTATATTAATGTTCTGTAATTATTTTACTGCAAAGAAAAACAAAAACATCCAAGTGTATTTATGTATTACAGTATATTAATTTTTAACTAGAAAAAAGCAGGGGAAATGCAAATCATTTATTCAACTTAGGGCTTGCTGATCGCATGGTCGGCAGTTCGAATCCCCACGGCAGGGTGCGCTCCCGTTGCTCGGTCCCAGCGCCTGCCAACCTAGCAGTTCGAAAGCACCCCCGGGTGCAAGTAGATAAATAGGGACCGCTTACTGGTGGGAAGGTATACGGCGTTTCCGTGTGCTGCGCTGGCTCGCCAGAGCAGCTTGTCACGCTGGCCATGTGACCTGGAAGTGTCTCCGGACAGCGCTGGCCCCCGGCCTCTTAAGTGAGATGGGCGTACAACCCTAGAGTCTGGCAAGACTGGCCCGTACGGGCAGGGGTACCTTTACCTTTATTTATGATGATAAAATGGTATTAAGCCATGCATTGGTCCAGTTAAAGTTGGGTTTTATTCAATTTTTGTCCCGTCCTTTGGGGCAAACACTTTAGATACCTAACCTTGGGAGTGCCACTCTAAAGCTTTCTGAAGAAATTTTTTCTGCTTATGTTTTACCTTTGGTTCTTCTTTGGATGTCAGCTGTGTTGTTGTCTTGTCAATCTGACCAGAGGGTACTTTTCCAGTACTTGGTTGCTTAGGTTCCACTACAGAAGGTTTGCTTTGGCTTTTTGCCTACATGTACACACATAAAAAGATGAATGCCCTTACATAAATTTGCATTGTAAAGAATTATATCTCCTAGTAAGTAAAATAAAAATTACCCCTCCAGGCTCTTTTTGCTTCTCTTCTGATGAACGTTTAGACTGAGAATCATCTGGCTGTGTGAAAAGAGATAGCAATATAATTGATCAATTTAAATGTAAACAAACAGTTACAGATAAAATGTAAACAAACTAGTCTGCACAACGAAGAAAGAAATAGTCAAAAGTATTTTCGCTGTGACGGAACAATACAAGCCTGAATGTTGTCCAAAAATCCAAAAGTTGTATTTGTATCACATGTTTATGAGCACAACTGCATTAAAATTAGGGGTGCTTGGTGAAGTAAACACCCCGTCTGAATGTCAAAATCTGAATGAATCCGGGATGGGCACAGCCCCTGCAAGCAAGCCTTCGACTGAATCTGCACTGACTTGCAGCCCACGTCTCCTTCATCTGACAAGTCTTCCTGAAGGATCAAAATACATTCACAGGAATCATAGGATGGCCTGCCTGTGTCTCGTTATTTCTAGGCAGAAGTGATATGTGCAGATTTCGTCATGGTTTTAAGTGATACTGTGCAACTCATTTTGTGCCCAGTAACTATGGGACTTGTATTCTAACTCTTCATTCCCCGAGTGCGGGGAGGGTCTTTGCATCATTTGCTCTCCTGGTGCTGCTGTCTTCTCCCCTTATTGACATTCTTGTGGACATGCATTTGCACAGGCAATGTTCCTAAAAACTAACAGCCACTATGCTAATGCAAGCCCATTTACTGATACATAGTTTACAAACCATATTTGTTTATACCAGATTAAGTGCATAATGGAAGCTATTTATTCCTCTTGTTTTGTATCCTGCTTTTTCCTAAGAGCTCATTTACTCTTATTAAAATGCATCTAGGAACTAAGTGTAATCTCCACTGATTTCAGTGCAACTTAATTTCAGGCTGCTTTCCTTTGACACTGTGCAGAAATGGGAAATGTGCAGGGATAGTCAACTGGGCAAGCTGCTACTGTCAGAAAGCCACTATTTTCTTTTTCAAAGTTATTGTAAATTGCAGAATAGGCATCACAACACCCCATTGGAAGCAACCTAAAAGACTGATAACACATTCAGAAGGCCCTGAATTAAACCTTATAGATTATGAAACCCAGAACTTTTGTTTAAAACAAATAATGATTAGTCAAACAAGCAAGCTTCATCACATATGTAAATGCTTATGAGATATTTGTTCAGGGCACAGCAATTCAAAACATAAATGTATGTTATGTTACCTTACCTTAGCTAACTGTGCTGCTTTTTCAGCTTCTGCTTTGGCTTTTTGGGCTGCCTACAATATGAACAATGTCAAATGAAAAAGCCAATTATTACATTAAAAATAAATTGATATCCCTTAGAATGCAACAATATTTACAAGCAGAAACAGCATGAACAGAAGTTGATGAAATGGACTTTCCTCCTCGGGAACATTCATTGGCTACAGCAGAACAAACCCCTGAGAGCTGCTACTGATAGGGATTGCAATATTTTGAACCGATAGCTAAGGAGTAAAAAAAATAAAACTATGACTCCCATGAGGCTTTTTTGAAAGCCGTATTTTAATTGACCAATGAATTCTTAACTCTTGTGTAGCACAAGTTTGCTTATTAACCGTGAAGCTAGCAGAATGAAATGAAGCAGAGCATAAAAACAGGCAGACAGTTAAGGAATTATAAAATCCAAGTGTTGAGGAATTATGTGGGGAGAGCAATTTAAATGGTGGATTAGAATGGAAAGAGAGGGGAGAGAATTCCCAGTCAGGAGAGAGAATATATAGCAAGTGAGACCTCGGGAGCAGCTTTAACAAGCACTTTTTAAAGCTCTCAAAGAACACAAGCAACACAGCTGTAAATTGCTCACTTCAACTCAAGTGTTACATGTTTTACTCTGGATTAGCCATCATTCTAAAATTTGACCTGAAGCATTTCTCTAGTGCCTATATATATATATATCTATACACACACACACACACACACACACACACGCGCGCCACACAGGGACACATTTTATAAGTACGCAAGACCTCCATTATAAACACAAAGTAAGAGCAGGAAATCCTAGGTTTTCTGTTTGTCCTGTAGCCCAAACAAGTCTGCTATAGCTGTATCCATATAGCTCTCCAATAGTGAAGTTCGACCACTACATGGATATCAGCCACCACGCATCTCTAGCTAGTAGTTTGCATACTGTCACACCACAAGAACAAGGACACAAATGAAATTACGTTTGGTGGTTTATTTCCATGGCGGACTGTATGCTTTGGAAAAGATTGCAGCGTGACTATATGCAACTAAAGACAGACACAAAATGAAGTTTATTAGTTCAAGACTGATGAATGTGCACATGCTGCTGGTGTAGCTGGTGTTATTTTCAAACGCACACACAAAAACCAATCTCTTTTCACCTGCTTCTTGTTTCGTTTCCTTTTGTGGGATTCCACTCCACTGGCCTTTTGCTGGCTTGAAGAAGCCTAATATTGAGAGCACAAACTCAGGGTGCTTACAGAAATTGTGTAAGGCATGCCAAGGAAATGTGTTTCAAAAACAGGGGAGGCCGTTTTAGAGCATAAAGCACTGAAAAGAAAATTGCCTTTCCTTTTTAAAGGCTTTCTGAGGAAGTGTTTTATTTTACGAAAGGTTGAATTTTTAAACACGACATTTTCAGTAATAAGAGCTTCCATGCCAACATGTGTTCCACCCTCGTTTCCAACACAGGTGCACGTTACAGGAATTAGCAGGTGCATGTCTGAACACCATATGTACCCATGTATTCCTTGTAATGGTGAAAACTTTCCCCTTTGGTGAAAGGCTTATTGGTAGGACACAGCCTTGCCATACAAAAATTCCCGGGTTCAGTTCCTGGCAGCTACAGAGGGTTGGAAGAGACTCCTGCCTAAAATCCTGTAAAGCTATTGCCGATCTGTGTTGAAAATACTGAGCTAGATGGACTAATTGTCTGAGTCAGCTTCCTACTCAGCTTTAGCCATATTCTTTAAAAGTCACACTGACCTAGAGAGACTTGTATTGGAAAGGTATGGAAACACATGACAGGGCTATTTCTCTGTTCATCTCTCCCCAACTCTCTTTCCCCCCAGAACATACAGGTAACCAGCATCCAAAAAATTAACAACTGCCAACAGTTGTGAAGGTTAAGTAAGTGTTGCGCTTGCATTAAAAGTAACACTGAACTTAGGTACCAATTAGAACAATGTCTTTTCCAGCTTCCTATTCTGCACAGAAGGTTTACAGCCATAAAACACATCAAAGCAAGAGAGGAAAACAATGGAACTGAATTGAGCATAGCCTTTCCTGCAGCGTTTATGCTGCATCACTGGCTTGAGTTATTAGGTTGCAATGCTCTGCACACTTACTAGAAAGAGACTATGTTCCAGGAAACTAAAAAGGACTTCTGGGTAAACAGGATAATATTGTTAGAAAACAGGGCATATGCTGACTCATTGTTTTGTGTAATATTATGCATTGCAAGAGCTGAGCTGTGAAAAGATATTCAACAGATGATCCTTCAGCTGGATTTGCAGCTTCTTTTTGTCGCTTCCCATCCTCATTCTCTTTTCTATTAAGCTGCCTCTTTCTGAACTCAGTTGCACTAATGGCCTTCACTTCTTAGCCAACCAGCACAAATCCCACCTTAAAGCTACAAGAGCAGAGGGAGTGGAGTAGAGTGGGGGTACCCTTTTTTCACTGCCAGAGGCCATGTGGGCATTGGTCCAAAGTGTGGCACCCATTTGAAGAGGATGGGAGAGATTCCCTTGCTTTATCCAATGTAGCTGTCCTGGAAACCGAGTCTATTCTTTTTCCAGCCCTTGTTGTGTTGTGTAAGTAATGCTAAGAGATTGTCAATATAATTGTGAATGGAAGTCAAGTTTAAAATTCAGAAAGGATCCACCTCATGGAGAAAAGAAATGGGTTGAGTGGGAAAGACAGAAGAAGAATAGGACTGGGAATAGGCCAGTGGTACTTGCAGTCTGAGGCAGGGATGCGGGTGGCGCTGTGGGTTAAACCACAGAGCCTAGGACTCGCCCATCAGAAGGTCAGCGGTTCGAATCCCCGCGACGGGGTGAGCTCCCATTGCTCGGTCCCTGCTCCTGCCAACCTAGCAGTTCGAAAGCACGTCAAAGTGCAAGTAGATAAATAGGTACCACTCTGGCAGGAAGGTAAACGGTGTTTCCGTGTGCTGCTCTGGTTCGCCAGAAGCGGCTTAGTCATGCTGGCCATATGACCTGGAAGCTGTACGCTGGCTCCCTCGGCCAATAAAGCGAGATGAGCGCCGCAACCCCAGAGTCGGCTACAACTGGACCTAATGGTCAGGGGTCCCTTTACGCTTACTTGCACTGAGGACAGAAAGGGTCCCATTTTAACACAAAATCTGCTCACAATTATATGTGCTTCTGTACCTGAGCCATGAGGATAAAAATGTGAAACAGACCTGAACATACATATATATATTGGTGGCTCAGATTAAGAGATCTCTTTTAGGTACACCCAAGGGGCTTGAGGATTCCCTGTGGGATCAATGACTTTTTTTTCCTTTTGAAAAGGAGACCACAATGCCATATCAATAAGCTTCCCTTCAGTTTTCAAAGGGGTTTTATGGCATGGGAAGCTGCTGTTTGATAATAGCAAATGGCAGCTTCCTATACATTTTCTTCATGCCATTCATGTACCACTTCACTGTAAAAGAGACCCACTTCTGGGTTAGGCAGAAAAGCAATTACTGAAACATATAGCAGCAGGGAAGCAAAAGGATTAATGCTCTCTCTTCCTGCAATCAAGGAAGCTAGAGCAGTTAAGAATGATTTTCAACCACTTCTCCAACAAGCATTGATAACCTCCTTATCTAAAGTCTTGCTCTTTAGTAAGGCAACTCCCCATCAGGTAGATCAAGGCAAAAGGAATATGAGGAAAAGGCACACCCCTTTTTTGTTTCAACAAGTTTCAGAAATATGAAACACAGAGATCTAAGAAGTAAGCAGATATCCCTCATTCTAAATTGCAACACCTCCCTAAGCAGAATGCACAGAACTTTAGTTTACCATGTAATTTCAAAGGTGACTGGGTGATTTAAATTTTGCAGAAATGATTATTAATAGGCGCTTTGAAGGCCTGACTGAACCACCTCTATATTCCTCTGGGACTCCTCTTCTTGCTACATTAAGCAACTTCTACAAAGCAAAGGTATCACACAGGTACAATTTACACATAGGAAAGAGGAGGAGAGATCATTTATTTTGTTCACAAGAGAAGAGCAAACATTTCTAGTCTGATCTAAATTGTGTGCAAAAACAGGCTCTGCATTTCTAGAGCCGGGTTTGTGGCGCCCTCTCTAACAAGGTAAGGAAGGTGCCAAGTGCTTCTAGTAGTCATTTGAATCTATAAATAGGATGCCCACTTTGCCTATTTATATGAGCACTTGAGTGCCAGTCCCATGAAGGTGAACACCAGACCGCAAGAACAGCTCTCTCAGAGTTTGGCTTACACTGACAAGTCGTGACAAACCTGCCTTAACAGAAACGTGATTTATAACTGCCAAGTAAGCAAGTTAATAGAAGCTAAATACTCTAGACCAGGAGTAGGGGACCTTTTTCAGCTGGAGGGCTGCATCCCCTTGTACAGAAGCTTTTAGGAGCCGCATGCTGGTGGAGGGTGCAACCAAAGGCAAAACCAGATAGATCAAGTAATGTGATTCTTACCTTGGTGCAGTAAACTACCGTATTTTTCACTCCATAAGACATACTTTTTTCCTCCTAAAAAGCAAGGGGAAATGTGCGTGTGTCTTATGGAGCGAATGAAGGCTGCGCATCTATCGCTGAAGCTAGCACAGCAAGAGGGAGAGCTGCGCAGCGCCTCTTGGTCTGCTGGCTTCCCAGCGAAGCAGGATGAGGGACGGAAGGAGCTCCATTCCGTCCCTCATCCTGCTTCGCTGGGAAGGCAGCACAACAAGAGGCGTTGCACAGTTTTCCCTCTTGCTATGCTGGCTTCAGAGATAGCTGCACAGCTTGCTCTGGCTTTTCAGGGAGGTGGGAGAAGGGACAGAGGGCAGCCAGTCAGTCCCTTCTCCCACCTCCCAGAAAAGCCAGCAAGAACTGCTCTATCTTTAAAGAGCCATGCCGAGCAAGCTCTTGCTGGCTTTTCTTGTTTTCCTCCTCTAAAAACTAGGTGCGTCTTATGGTCGGGTGTGTCTTATAGAGCGAAAAATACGGTATATTCCAACCACACACAAGTTTTCTACATACATCTCTCCCAACCAGGCAAGCAAAGGGTGCTATCACACCTCAGGACATATTCCAGTCAGGCAAAAGCACCCATGGCAGGTGTAGCCTGGAGAAAGTCTTACACTCCAGACAGAGAGAGCTGGAGGCCCTGGGTCTCAGGTTCCCCACCCCAGTCCACCACGTATCAGTTGATGTCTCTCAGTTATGTGGAGTTCATTACTTTAAAAATTGATTGAAGCAATTGGATATTTTAAAAACCTTTCGTAAGTTTTTATTTTATTGTGAATTGTTCTGTGTGCTGGTAGAGGCAGTATTTGAGCCTGGTTGAATTCTGCAACAATGGGACTGATTACATAACAGGCAGAATGAGATAGACTTGTTTTTATGTGGTTAGCCTGCTGAAGAATTTGATGAAGTCAGAAAATAAGAAATTTAGGAATCAAGGTTATGGGGATGAGGTGGTAAAATAGAACATGCAATTTTACATGGTCAATTACTGACCCACCTGGGAAAGTGCCCCCGCCCTTAAACAATGACAATTTCAACTCACTACTATCCTCTCTCGAAAGAAGGAATGTTGTCTAGGGAGTTGCATATATGACTAAACACTATTAGTTGCAAAGGAATAAAGATTGCCTATCAGTTATGCACATATGAGCAAACTGAGACATATAATTTCACCTGACACATAAAACAAAGATTAGCATCACCTATATGCTGTTGTTGTTTTAGAGAAACTGATTGTGGACATTCCATTCAAATCCAAGCGCTGAAACCATATCAGTAGGAATTGGTTGAATAAGTGGTGCAATTTCCTACAGCCAATGATATGTGATCACAACAGAATTGCTCTCCACAACAGTTCTTAAGCACTGTTAACATTTATTACTTGCTCATATAAACCATTTTGAAGGGAGTTAACACTGATAGTACACCAGTAGTGTTAAACTCTTGTGTTAAACCATACTTCTTGGGTCAGTCAGCAACTTGCACTCACTTATAAGTGCTCAGAGATGGAAAAAGATCACATAGCAATTTCTTATAATAACAGCTGCTGTAAAAGTAGCACAGAATCAGACTGGTATAAATGGACACTTGCTTATCCATTTTCAGAAGACATACCTTTGTTTCAGAAGGCTTCATAGTGGGTGTCTTTGAGGAAACCGTGGAAGAAGACTGAGCCTACAATGTGCAAAAAAAAGGATGTGAATTAATTGCCCACCAATGGGAGTTAAGTATTTTTATATATTTTAGAATTCCATCCCAATACAGCAAGTTGCAAATCTGTATCCCAAAGCTCTCATTGATCTTGGATGTTCATTGATAGATGTGAACACTGATCCTTTTCCCCACAAATTGCACAGAGCATATAATGAATAGGGAGTTGTGTTTAGATACACAAATAACCAAAATTCCATAGACTTATTACAAGATTAAACAAGATGTAACATACTCATTCATTAGTGGTAGGACTGAACTAAAGTGCAAAGGTTTGGGGGGAGGGGGGAATGTGCTATAAACAAGTAGAAGCTTGAATAGTCAGAATAACCTGGAGTGCTTATATCAGACACAGATGTTTTTTATTAGCCATGTTTGGTTTCCTTCTGGAATGAAAAGTGGGTTACAGATAACCAATAGAATGAAATGAAATTGATAATACTAAGCAAGTTGTTCAAGGGTGAATTACGTTTTGATAATCTCTTAATAGGGGCAAACTAACATTGCTAGACTTAAGAAAAATGCAAGGACACAGGAGAAATGAAAGGGCACAGAGCAGCAATTATTACAGGCTGCTTACAAAACCAATTAATGTTAAGATATTAACCTTCCCTCCCACCTTTCTTCAATATGAAGGCTAATGATGTACTGAAACCAGAGATGTATTTGTGTTTATAATTATCTCTTTAAGAGTCATTATACTGTCAAAATTATTTATTGGAAAAAACCAGGCTAACAATCCCATCTTAATCCAAGCTTTCCAGAACTGGCCCGAAGAAAACATTAAAACTCAGAATTACAGAACTGTAGAGTTGGAAGGAACCACGAGGATCATCCAGTCCAAACCCCGGCAGTGCCAGAATCTTTTACCTAACATGGGGCTCATGCTCTACTAACTGAGCTATCATTTGAAATAAGTGGTTGTAAGCTCTGGCAAGTCCAAACTCAGAGTTTTACATTTACATAGGAGCCACATGGAACAGGTCCCTTATTTAAATTTTCTGTTTTACCAAATTCGAAAAACCATTTTCTTTTGCACCCTCATTGCATAAAATGTGTCAAGCAGATATTCTATTGTTAACTACATGTCTTCAGTGATGGACTCAACTTCAATAGATTCTGAATGGCATGCCAAAAGGCTTTCACTATGTAATTTGCCTATATTATCCACCTATATTTTTCCAACAAGTAAATGCTAGGCAATGAAGTCATACTTTCATTCTACAGTAAGCCACCTTCACATAATCAAGTTACTTGTACAAAGTCTTCCTCCTCCTGGATACAGGACAAGTATCTGTTCCAAGCCTCTTTAAAATGAGTCACATTCATTATTGTCATGGAGTAAACATGCATCTGGAAGAGGCTACCACCACCCTTGCCTTATAAGCAAGTCCCATACCTATCCTACTCAAACTGCCAGATTTGAGGCAATTGGATTCCAGGACTTGGGGAAGCAAACTGTCAGTCCCCAAGTGGGTGTAAAACAGCCCTGTGGGGTTCCAGAGCAGCAAATAAACATCAGAGGGACCATAGGGAAGTGTGAAATAAAAATTTAAAAAAGAGCCAGTGAGGTGTTGAGATCAAAGCAGTAATCATGGAAAGAGAACAGCAGCTCATGGCAAACTCTTTAGACTGGAGATGAGATACTCAGGGAGAACAATATAATAGGCTAAGGCTTCTTAAGCATGGAGGAGGACAATTTTAATCTCAGTCATAACTGGGGGAGAAAAGATAAACCTTCCCCTCTACGTGTGTGACGGTCTACATAACAATCTTAAGCTTGCACACACCTGTAAAGACTCACAGGAGGTTTGATGGGATCAGCAGCTATATTATGTATCATTTCTTCAACTGGACTATAAACAGAGCAGGTTTGAAACTGAACATGAAACTAGAGGGAGCTTTTTATTTAAACTGAGAATGGTCACAATTTAGTTTTTCAGCACCACGTGTAATAAAACCCTTAGGAAGAAATGGCAAGAGTGTGGCCAAGGGAAATTTAATCTGTCACAAAGACTGCAAGGAGACAATAATAACATTTACATTGTACACATCTAATGCTACAGTGATGTCTTTCTTCATCGCAACTCTACAGAATGTTATTTGTTTCCTCTGCTGTTTTCCTTTCAAATATTTATCAAGCAGCCATTAAAAAATAAAAAAGCTTTTTACCACTATCTGAGTTCATAAACAAGCAAAGTTTTGCCACTGATGAACCATGTGAATACATATGTTGGGCTTGGAAACAAATATGAAAAGAGTTGCCTGGTAACCGGTAATAACTGTATGATTCATAGCTAAACAGAACTTGGGAGAGATTGTAGCGTGTTTGACCAGAGGCACACCCAGTTTATAATAAAAGAATTGTGAACTAACTGGTGAACTGAATAAATCTGGCTCTACTGGAAAAGGAAGAGCGAGAAATTTCAGATTTCAAAAACACAGCAGGAACAAAACCACAGTGTGGATATTTTCATGATAAAATCAGAGCACCACTATAGAATATTAAAATAGCTGTTAGTAAAGAATAAAAAATGCTTCACAGTATAGGTAGGGCAGGCATAAGTCACACCTGAATCTAGACCTGGAGGGTTTATCTCTACCTTAGCTTCCTAGAGACAGTATTATATACTTAGATATATAAGCTAGATGCCAAATGGTTCCTTACACCAAGGTTGAAGGCACCAAAATGGAATGTCTAGTTGCATTTTTGGGCAAGATGGCTCTAAATTCTTATTTTTCAAATGGCTCTAAAGTCTTATTCTTCAAATGGGGGACTGACATCTTGTGAGTTCAGATGGCAACCTTGAGCTAGCTTAAGAGCTTTGAGAAGTTAAAGAAGAAAAGTCACTTGATCCTGGGACAGTCCACATATATAATGGCCTATTCTGGTCTCTTTTTCTTAATGGTGACTGCTCCTGCTCAGGCTGCACAGAAAAATCATTTTGGTTCCAGAAATTCTTTCTCATTGTGCAGATAAAATATAACTTATAGAATTCTACAGGATGGTGTTTTAGTGTGTGAAAACAGTCCAGATCCAATGATCCCCAGATAGTGAAGATGTTAGGTGCCACCCTGGCACCCAGGCATCTTCACTTGGTCAGAAGCAGTTGAAAAGCAGGTGCAAAATGTGCCTGGCATCTCGCTAATTTCAAACACTGCCTAGAGATCAGAGTCTTGAGCTGGAAGTAGGAGCCTAAAGAGTAGCAAGCAAAAGGTATTACTGTGTTGATCAAGAGGCAGGAGAAGATCAGGCTCCTACTATTTAGACCAAATCTGACCAATCCAGGGGCTTATTACTGCCTGTCAGTCTTTGGGGCGATGCCGCAGATTGAATATGCCTACTACGTCTGAAGAGGGGCCCAAGAGCATGGTACACAGACCATGGGCTATGGCCCAGCATAAAAGTAGTGCGGTTCCCAGTTCAGGCCATCAACTCCCTAACAAGTCCTATTTGCTAAACACCCAAAGTGCATAATCAACATGCACTCAAAGATTCAGGCAAATGACAGCTACCATGTGGTGTCAAGGTCATCACCACAAAGATAACTGGAGGAAATAGCCAAATTGTCACTGAATTGCCCTATACCCATGCTCTGGAGCTAGTTATCCAAAAAGCACATATCTAAAACCTCCAAGTTTCATGAAGCTATTTGGCCCGCAGGAAAATGGGCATTTCCCATAACTTGGTGTAGGGAGATGAGGGAAAAATTAAAACAAGAGTCATTTTTGAAGGAGAGCAGGGGCATAACATTTATAAGAGAGATATGATAGCCATATTCAAATATCCAAAGGGCTGTCACATGGAAGATGGAGCAAGTTTGTTTTCTCCTGCTCCAGAAGGTAAGACCTGAACCAATGGATTCAAGTTACAAGAAGGGAGATTCTGACTAAACATCAGGAAGTACTTTCTGATGGTGGGAGGTGTTCGACAGTAGAACGGACTCCCTCAGGAGGTTGTGGGCTTTCCTCCATGGGAGGTTTTTAAACAGAAGTTGGGTGGTCATCAGTCATGGATTTAGTTCAGACTCCTGCATCATCACCATCAACAAAGTAACAATAATAATTTATTACTTATACCCACCCATCTGGGCAGGCCTCCTCAGCCACTCTGGGCAGCTCCCAACAGAACATTAAGAACAAGATGTAGCATCAAACATTAACAACTTCCCTAAACAGGGCTGCCTTCAGATGTCTTTTAAAAGTCAGATAGTTGTTTATGTCCTTGGTATCTGATGGGAGGCCACTACTGAGAAGGCCCTCTGCCTGGCTCCTTGTAACCTCACTTCTCACAGTGAGGAAATCCTCAGAAGGTGCTCAGAGCTGGACCTCAGCGTCCGGGCTGAACATGGGGGGGGGGAATTCCTTCAGGTATACTGCATTACAGAAGGTTGGACTAGATGACACTTGGGATCCCTTCCATCTCTACAGTTCTATGATTACAAGAGGTGGCAGCAGAGGGTTTTCTTCCCTGCTGCCTTTCCTTAAACAAGAGAGCTTTTCCACTGCTAAAATGGTGGTGGAACTGTGAAGAGAGCACAGAAAATGATGCCATTTCAATGGATGTCTTGCCCCCTTTGTTGCCACATACATTGCCAGGTGTGATTTGAGTGAAAGAGCAGTGGTAGTGATGATTAGTAGAGTACATGATAAGCTAGATCCCAGCTTGGACGGGGTTGGTTCATAATACATAAATGGGCATACTCAAGCCTGCCATTACAAGCCTCCCAATTTCAACCTTCAACGTCATGGAAGAAATCACTTCCTGGAGCAGAGACATCATATAGAAAGTTTCAGCTTCAACATTCTACTGAGTTGAGCGGGACCTATTCCCAGGTAAGAATGCTTAGGATTGAAGTTTAACTCAGCCAATTAACTCCAAACCCCAAAACTGAAAATAATTGTTTTCTAAAACATTAAAGGGGGGGTATTGTTTATAATTTCAGGGGTCGGGCGGAAACATTTTCCTACTATTGTTAGCTTAGCAACAGCTTTAGTCATTCAGCTTCATTGTTATGGAATAATATACATATAATATTAAGTAAACACCACCTTTGGGTTGGTAGAGACAATAGTTACCTGGACATGCCTGAACAGAGAGAGAGATATCCTGTACAGATCACCACACCCTGAATTACACAGGTTCCAAATATACACTGAATAGACAGTCAGCAATGACACACCAAATTTGTAAGACACCATTGTGAGCTTATGACAGTCAATTCAGGTTTTTTTAAAATAAAAAAAGATTATGAATCATTAGATCTATAGCCATGAAGATCTTACTCTCGAGATTTTGCTAAAATCTTACAAGTCACTGCTTTCACAACAACCTTTCTGATAAAAACACACCAGATAGTCAGCAGCCCCTTGCAGAAAAGCCTATTCTTCTCAGGGCTAGAAAGCAAGAATAAGAGCTGTAAAACTCTGCAACTCCAGAAATAAAATACTCCAGTCCACTTACTAAGCACAACACTAACTAATTCAGCAGTTCATGTTCTGCAGTAAAGAGCATTGCAGGGTTGGAGAAGCAAAAGAAAGCAGGAAGTACGCAACGCAGTTAGACCGCAGTACTGACAGTAGCAAAAAAAAATCCCGGAAAAACAGTACTCACTCCAGGCAGCTGGTATGTTCCTTCCCAAGCTCTAAGTAAACAGAACACACCGGATCCTTATCGCAAGCTTGCTTTCATTTCAGTTTGTATCAGTTCTAGCCATGGTTTCAGTTTTAACACAGCCCCTGGAACAAACCCATGGCAGTGAAGACGGCACGACCAATCCGAACAGCACAAGCAGACACACTCAGTCTGCAGGCTCAGTTGCTCCACCTCCTATGAATATTCAAATAAACTTGAGAGATCCTCACAAGGAAGGTGGGGACAGGCAGCAGCTAGGCTTTGCCAAAATGGAACAGGAATTGCTGTCAAAGTCAAATGCGGGTGCTTTACTTATGTGGCTTGTAGTTAAGAGAAGACAGTAGACAAAACTGAATTACTGTACCAAGTTTTATTGAAATTTATCTGAATTTTCTGATTATTATTTTTAAAAAGCTACCAAAGGCACAAGGAAGCTTGAAGTGGGAGTACTAATAACCTACTGGCAGGGGATTTTGTTTAACCAAACTGGGAAAGGCATATAGCAGGCACCCCCAAACTCAGCCCTCTAGATATTTGGGACTATAACTCCCATCATCCCTGACCACTGGACCTGTTAGCTAGGGATGATGGGAGTTGTAGCCTCTAAACATCTGGAGGGCTGAGTTTGGGGGTGCCTGGCATATAGCCTGAAGACCGCTCTATAACATATAAATGCATTACAAAAACCAGTTAAGGCAGCCCTTTCACAGCTCCTGTTTATTCACCAGGAAGAATCTGTGGGCACAAAAATCTTTGAAACTCTTCATAATATGACTTTTTCTAGCTTGATTTCTAAATAAATATTCAGCATGTTAACACTGTTATATGAAAACACCAACAACAATGTACCACATATCTTTTGAAACTATTCTGAATATTTTTTAAAAACAAATTATTTGCATATTGAAATTTGTTTGGCAATTTCTCTTAATCCAGAATACAGAGAGGAAGAGAACTATATTTTCAAAATGTTGTTTTCGAATTCTATATAGCAATAAAGCCATTTTAGTGTGCACTGTATAGAACATCTATCATTCTCTTTATCAGACAATATTTTATTGCTGCACATAAAACTGTTAGAGCCAGGGAACAAATTAAAAACTTAGACAACAACAACAGCTTATAGGAGCTGGAGTGCTTCAGGTTTTCTTTACTATATGCATAATATATAGATGGGGACAAACCATAGCACACTTGCAGAGTGCATACTTCATGTGCAGAAGCTTCCGTGGTCCACCCCAGACATTCCACTTAAAATAATCTTAGCTAGAAGAGCAGGCAAAAACCACAATCTGGAGAGATGCTAGCTGTCAGGGTGGAAAATAACAGAAAAGGTAGATCCAATATGATAGTTTCCTACAGGTATTTCGCCACCACTCAAAAAATAAATATTTCCTCTTATAACACAATATATGTGAAATAGATAAACACTGAACAAGCTGCATTAATGGCTCAGCTAAACTTCTGGAAATCTCATCCATTAGGAAAGTGCCAACTGGTGTTGACACCAATTTGTCCGCATAACCCCAGCCTTGCCACCACCCTGCCCTGACACCATCCAGGTAAATGGCAGTGATGCCATTGTGGCAGCTCTGCATTACCAGCCTGCTTCACCAACCCCTCCCAACCAAGTCAACTCACAATAATTAAAATCAGAGGAGCACAACAATAAAAACTCAAAACAGAACACAGCCTTCAGTAAAATCACTTCAATCTGGCAAATTAAAAAAGTCTTCATGAATTACAAGAAAACACTCAGAAGGAGGCCATATGAACCTCATTGGGCGAACCATTCTACAATGTTGGTGCAGTCACTGAGAAAGCCACCTTCCTTGGCCCACCCAAGAACGCTTCCACTATGACCTTCCTCCTTGAGTTTAGTGAACAGGTAAGCAGACATGGGAGGAGGCTTACTACTATGGCTTTGAACTGTGCCTGGAAACCAGTAGGTAAAACATAGCTGCACATGCATGCATGTTTTATGATGATCTCAATGCAGGACGTTTTCAAGGGATTGACATGATGCTAGATTCCTCACAGTGCTGTGAAATACCCAGAACCCATCATAGCACCTCAGAATTTAACACAAAAGTCTGCAGTTTTCATTCAGATATTTTATACATGTAGGCAATTGGTGTACGTCAGCCACATGATTTCATTTGAACCCTGATTTGGAGCTTTCGTCAAAGCACTTTCTAGGTACCCGATTTATCTCAGGGTCTGTCCAAGTCCACGCTGTCTGCCAACCTGCTGGCCACTTTGCTTTTGGGAAATTCAGCAATGGTTATAAACCATTTTTTTCTTCTGACATGCATGCATTTAATCTGCAGGCATATTTTCCCCTCCAGAGTCAATAAAGCCTACCAAATTACAGACAGATAGATCAAGGCACTTTGTGCTAGATACCTTTGATTTATTTTATTTTTTAAGGAAATGTCTAAACCCCTTTTTATTTTGGGGTGAAATGTGATGAAATTTGCAGGTAAGGTCACACCTTCCAGAGGCATAAATCCTCACGGCAGACATCATTCTGTAATTTGTCATTTTCCCACAGGAACAGCCATTACAGTTTTGGAAGGGGTAAAAAAGAAAAAGAAAAAAAGACTTGCTTAATCTTCTCTTCTCTAGGGACGCGGGTGGCGCTGTGGGTTAAACCATAGAGCCTAGGACTTGCTGATCAGAAGGTCGGCGGTTCGAATCCCCACGACGGGGTGAGCTCCTGTTGCTCGGTCCCTGCTCCTGCCCACCTAGCAGTTCGAAAGCACGTCAAAGTGCAAGTAGATAAATAGGTACCACTCCAGCGGGAAGGTAAACGGCGTTCCTGTGCACTGCTCTGGTTCACCAGAAGCGGCTTAGTCATGCTGACCCGGAAGCTGTCTGCGGACAAACGCCGGCTCCCTCGGCCCATAGAGCGAGATGAGCGCCGCAACCCCAGAGTCGATCACGACTGGACCTAATGGTCAGGGGTACCTTTACCTTAATCTTCTCTTGTGTTTCATGGGCAATTTGACAGAAAATCTCCACTCTGGTGTTTGCTCGCCCTTCTCCCATTGCTTCACCATCATTATGGCAAATTTAAGAGACATTACTTTCGGTTTCAGCAGAAGCCTGTCTGCAGCCTTTTGTGGGGAGTGGGGGAGGGGTGACACCTGTATTGTCAAGGCATCACAACTCACTTCAGGGCCCACTCTTTTAACTTCTGTGCTCCCTTCCAGAGATTCTGCTTTGCCTCTGATATGCCAAATATCCACAAGGCCCTCCTACTCATTCTGTTGAATAGGGCACTGATTTTAGTAACTTGACTACAGCACTTTTAAAATCATTGTTGGATTGACTTGTACATATCCTGATTCACCTCAGGGAGGCAGAAGATCCCTCTGAGGCATTTCATTACACTTCAGGATTCATATGAATCCAATGCACATAGCCTTAAAACGCACACTTAAAGTGGCTGAATCACTGAGAACATTGAAGTTTCAGTTGACTGATATACCACTCATCTATATTATTAATTTAAAATATGTATGAGCCACATTTTAGGTTCAAACCCTCCAAAGTCAGCTTCCAACAATCTGTCAACAATATAAGAACCCACAGTCAATTTAAAGACAGATGACACCAGCTTAAACATTCAAGATTAGATAATTAGTAAAGCATTTGCCGGTCATGCTTCCAGGAATATGACGAACAGTTCTATAACCACTCAAGTTACCTTACTGATGGAAGATGTCCCACTTGTTTGTGTTTTAGGAGATTCAGTAAGGCTAGCACTTTCAGGTTTCTTCTACAAGACAAAAAAAAATTTGAAATATTAATTTAAAAGTAAAACACTAATGCTGTAGGGAAAATCTCCAATAAAGATAGATGTTGCATCCTATTTTCAGAGCTTTTTTCCTTGCCATGTTGATGATGTACTGATTTGTAGTCAGCAGTTTACTAAAGTGCAATTACTTTAATTCACTCATTAGCAATCTTTGGGTATCATGTGAAAGTATGAATATAAATAGGAACATAGAAAACTGCCTTAAACTGAATCAGACCATTGGTCCTTTGAGTTAAGTATCACTACACCACCTGGCAGTGACTCTCCAGGCAGGAAACATTCCCAGTCCTACATGGAGATACCAGGGATTGAACATGAGACCTTCTGCATGCAAAGCAGACGCTCTATCACTGAGCTATGTCCTTTCCTGAATAACAACTCTGCCATTACCCTGGATAAAGACCTGCCCTGGGAAGGGATGCAAAGATTTGTGCTCTGCTCATCTTATAGTCAGCTTAAACAGGTGATGCACAGACTGTGAATGAGATGTGTCCTCCCCTTTCGATTTCCTTTTTAGTATTAACCAAGGGGTTGTCATAATTGGAAAAAATCAGCAAACCATGGCAGGGACTTCTGGTGACGGATAGGTAAACTTTATTCGCATTAGCCAACGGCCATAGCAACATAAAACAAGCAATATGTACAACTTCTGGTAAAGGATTGAAAACCATGGTTGCAAGCAGGTTGGAAGGGGAAATGATTGCATCAGCAAATGATGCCTGACATCATGGCAAATAATAGTTGATACCAGAGGCAGTTTTAGGGTGGCGTAGAATGGAGCACAAGTGGTGGGGGGCACAGAAAACCGAAAGTGCACCACTGTTAATACTACACCTGAAATGCTCTCAAATGGGCCGGCTCTTTAAATAAGTAGGTCTCTATAAACAGGACATTGCCTTGACAATCAAGTACAAGGAGCTTCTCCTGGCTTTTAGCCTTTTATTATAAATACATATTTTCTCCTATATTAATAACACAGGATGGATTGAAAGATGAAAACTAAGAATGGTGCAAAAAGTCAATGCAAACATAATTAATTAATTAATTAATTGCCCTTCTCTGTCAAAGTTCCAGCATCTTAATATGAAAACAGGCAGGCAGATCTGCAGACTGCTGACACACACGTAGGCAATTTATCCTCTGGTCACAATATTTTTTAAACCCTTCTCTCCCACTCTCATCCAACCTGCATGAAAACCTTGGAGTCACTTAGTTACTATCTCATTCAAGAATTCAAACATGTCAATGAGACCAGGCTGAGCTGGTGGTTTTTCACACTGGGTGTCAAGTTAACACACAGAGTTGCTCTTCTCCAAACATTTCCATGATATTCATATTGGTCCCTAGCTCATGAAAAATCTCCTTAAGATGTATATTTTTAGGACACACCCTATTTTTGTGGTTCTAAGCTGCTTTAAATTGTTTTTAATGTTCTATTTCAAACTGTTGTGACCCATCCTGGGACCTTAGGGTGAATAAATCAAATTAATAACAAGGCAGCCCTGTATCAGGAAGTTTTTAATGCTTGATGTTTTATGTTTTTAGATATGCTGTAAGCCGCCCAGAATGGCTCAGGAAACCCAGCCAGATGGGCAGGGTATAAATAATAATAATAATACCTGCCAAACAATTTCCATCCAAACGTAGTGTGAAACAGCCTTAAGAAATCTATTTAACCCAGGAATGCTTGGAGCTTTTCCCAAGAATAGTAAATAATATACTAATACTGTAACAACATCAAACGTCCCAGATGATGTTTTAGAGTGTAACAAAAACAGCTGATACATGTCCGTGACTTGTGCTTCCAATCTGAATTGGAGATTTTCCAAGTTGCTCTAGTCAAGTGAGACAGTAGACAGCACATCACCCATGGCCTCCATCAGTAAAGATAGCACCACTCCCTCAAAGAGGCATTAATGATCTCTTTAACCAGTGCAGGTAGTCATTCCTAGCTTAGAAGTGCTTAGTATTGGCTGGGCCATATTCTATGCATTGGCTGGGCCATATACTATGTATTACATAAATTATTTATATATATATAATCTTCTCTGTAAGATTGCATATATCAGAAAAACATCTAACACACTACAAACAGCGTCATAGAAATGATGTAGCACCCATTCTCCTAGCATCTTATAGTTAATGATCAATTTGAGGACTGTGTCTATTAATGATGTGATGAATGATGCCACAACAATATGAAGCTCGCTGGGTAGCCTTGGGCCAGTCAAGGTCTCAGCCTAACATACCACAAAAGGTAGTTGGAATTAAATGAGGAGATAGATGCATGTAGGCCACCTTGAGTTCCTTGGATGAAAAGGTGGGATATAAACAAAATAAACGAATTGTCCGATAACCAACAGATGCTAACTCCAAAAAGACATCTCTTATGCAAGCCACTCTGTGCATTTCTACTGAAAGGTGGTATATTAAGTGCTATAATACTGTTATGATTTGGGGGGGCAGACTCCTCATAATCCTAAATTTAGTAATGGGGTAGAATTTATCCAATTTTGGGAGTATGAGGGGAAGATGCCAGGCCAGTGAAACATACAGGCTGAACCAGTTGTCTTGTTCATGAGACTGCTGAGAGTGATGCCATGGATATATAATCCTGCAAACATAGGTGCCAGCTCCCTGGGGCCCTGGGTGCCTGAGCACCCACAAAATCCCCATGAAGAGGCTGGGCACTCAGAAATTTCAGCACCAGGGCCATGCACACTGCATGGCACCCACAGCCCCGGGCACGCACAGTCTCAGGGCCAACTGGCACTCCTGCCTGTAAATGTTAGTTTGGGATGCTAGTCATTCATTCAAAGTTTGACATTTTAAGAGAATAGCAAATTGCATAGAAATAATATTATGAATGCACACCTTCCTAGAAGAACTGGGCTCAAACTTATTTTGAAGTAGGAACACTCATGTTGGCCTTTCAGCAAGGGCCCTGGAATAGAAATGTTCCAACCAGAATTGTTTTGCCCTTTTACTCCCACCACCATTACCACAAATTGTGCAGTTTCCAAATCAAGGAGTAAAAATTGGCATGATGCAGGGAAGATTGGTTCAGGAGGCAAAAACATAGCACTGCCAATGTTATTCAGACAAGTAGATAGTGCCAAACTCCTCCTTGGAAGTAAGCAATGTACAAGGCAAGGCATTCAAAACTTGACACAGAAAAGGAAGTACCTACAGTGCATGTATATTACTGCTACTCTGTGCACATACCACCTACCAATGGATTATCTACTTTGACAGTGCAGAATGAGGAGATAGAAAAGGTAGGCAGAAATGGCTAAGTTAGAAAGATGCTGAATGTGCCCATTCCTTAACCGAGAACACTAATCTCAACTTAGAGCAGGGAGTGGAAGGTCTCCAGTGGCTGTGTAGCCTCTTATTGTTGTCTCTCCTTCCTGGACTGGGGCCAGTAATGATTCCTAGTAATGTTTGATAGCTTTCTTATACTTATGTATGTTCAATACAATGGAAATGCAAGTGTGTCAAGTTGTTTTCATAATTAAGCTCTCAGGATTTTCTTCTTTGAAAGTACAATACAATGGCTGTCCATGATATGCCGACATAATAGTCATATCCACCTAAGTCGTACACTGGGTAGACCCATTGAAATCAGTGGACTTGCAAGTCTACTGTGAGCATGACTTAGCTGGAAACATAGAACCTATTAAGCCGGACTCAACTAATGAGTACTGCCAACAAAAGTCCACACAAGGACTTCCAATCGTGCAATGGGATTTCTGCTCGGCAAGCTAAAATGCTTACACGGACGGAAATATTGCCATAGCCCTACATTCAATTCCACCCACTGTCTATAAACAGTTATTCATGCATTTCCAGTTTCTGTGTCTTCAGGAACTCGGAATTCAACACAGCACAACACCCTGCTTTATGCAGGTAGGCTGAAAAAAAACTTAGACGATGAAAGGATTGAGTTGACAAAGTCAGAGGAGATGCATTACAGCAGCCCTTGTTCTTCAGGCAATACAATATCTACTCATCTGTCTAATGAAAGGCAGAAGAGATCACGTTACAAGCAAATTGCCATTTAGTCAGGAAGTCTCAGAGATTTAGGTGACATGATGGCTGGTGTGGCTGAAATGTCAGATTGCTGCTCTCCTGAACTGAGAGAATCCTGTTACAGTGCTCTAGGTAGGAATCATTAAACAAAGCAGTTTGCTCTGTTGTACCTCTCAGCTTCCTCGCTCTCCCCCACACTATGTTTCCTTCCCACACTATTGAAATTACAACTGGGTTCAGTTACAGATATTGGGCTGCAAATATTTATGTAGCACTTCATCACTCTTTTGATCTTCTAAATTATGGCAAACAAAGCAATATTACTTGTTGCTATTTTCAAATCATGAAATCTAAGCAAACAGTGAGCTGTGAGAGCCTTCACCAGTAAACATTTTTTAGAATAGCAATTAGAAGTCATTGCACACAGGAAAATAGGAATTATTTATGCATTTTGAGTTTGTTAGCTGCCTTGACTAGCACAATGATTTTGGTCAAAATTCATTACTGTAACATAATCCTAGTAATAAAAACATAATGTTTTATAGTTACCTCTACTGCTTCTGCTCCTTTTTTATCTCCCGATGATCCACTTGCATTTTTAGGCCCACGCTGTAGGAAACATAAAGACAAACTGTAAATTAAAGCAAACAAATGATATAGCCAAGATATTGGCCGTGACCCATGAAGTACAAACCTATTTCTCTCCACACCCACTAAAACTTTGGACTTCTATTTCTTGCAGAGAAATATCCCTTTCTATACCATGTGAATCCAAAGCTTATGGTCACTATGTTTTGAACAGGTCAGGATCTGAAAACACAGTTTTTAATTTGTTTAAGATCCAAATTCACTCAAAATCCTGGTACCCCTAGTCTCCTAGGTGGGAAATAACAGGAAACTGTAGTTAGTTTTAAATTATTCAGTCATGGTGTGCCAAAAAGGAAGGAGTGCAGGGATGGTGTGAAGGCACTGCACAAACCACTGGTCATGACCCCTAGAGGCTTACATCAGTGATGATGGGGAATTGTAGTTCTGCATGGCCAGTGGTCAGGAATGATGACAGTTGTATGTCTCCAAAAATTGTTGAGCCACAACTCCCCATCATCCCTGATCACTGTCCATGCAGGTTGAGGCTGATGCAAGTTGAAGGCCCAACAACTTCTGGAGAACCTCAGGCTCCCCATTCATGACTTATATGGCATGGGACCAGGATACTTGAAAGGTCCTCTTAACCTGTATGAGGCAGCTCACACACTCAGATAATCATCAGGCCCATAGCTTGACAAGAAATGTACATCCTAACTAAGCAGGCACATCCACTGTGTGACCCAGAGGTGATGCACAGGGGAGGCACCGTGTGGCACTGCTGCTTGCTCACCTGGAGAGGGGTGGGACAGGTGCAGTGGCAGCAAGATTAAAGAAGAGTTAAGTTGGTAGCAGCCCGGTGGTGTGTGCACACCAGCACGGCCTCTGCTGCCAACCTTGGATCTCCCCCCCCCCCCAATTTTACCTCTTCTTCATCTCATCCCTACTGAACGAAAGGTGCTGGTGCTCTACCCCATTGCACATCCTTGGTGATGTAGCTTCATGTGAATAAGGAGGCTACCTGACAGCAAAAACAATCATAATAATCTACCATAATAAATCTACTATATCAGTCCAACAAACTGCAGTTCTATAAAAAATTGTACTGTACACTTTACACATGTACCATTTGCAATCTTGCAAATAAATTGCACTGTATTTGCCTGTAACTGTTCTGGTGCTGAGAATGATATAGGATACAGTGTATAAGATGCAGCATTTCTATAATACAAAACGTATAACCACAGAGGGCTTTATATTGTGTCACTTCAACAGTCCTGTGCATATAATGGAGACTTCAACCCACAGGAGATAGTATCTCCCCTTGCATGAATGCTTTTCCTGCGAAGCACACATTTCAGGAATTATGTGCTGAACTCTCTAATCAGCTAAACCAGCACCTACTGCTCTAATTAAAAGGAGGAAATAGCTTGCAGCATGTGTACGCCTCTATAACACACACTATTTTAGGTATTAATATTTCACAAGGTGTTTGCATTTGCTTTTGAACTAGCACTTTTAAAACTTTGTGAAATCATGCCATAAACATACTTGATCTTCTGCACGCACACAAACCCATCCAACCAAGAATTCCAGTTGGTATATCCAAGACCTATGCCATCCATTGATGCTGCATCTATATACCCCTACATCTTGTTTTATTGCATATATACCCAACAAGCACAATACGGTGTATATGATTCCCTACTGCTTTATCCTCACTACATCAGTGGAATATATTGCCTGACTTTGGGCAAGCTTGTCTAGTAAGCTTCATGGTTGATCCAGAATTTGAACCTTGGTCTTCCTTGTACTAGTCTTACAGTATAATCACAATGCTACATTGGCTCTTACGTGAGAAACATATTCACTTCCTCTTCCAGTGCACCATGCTTCCCTAGAGAGCTTTTCATTTAAGGAACTATTTTGTGAGGCTTGTTCACATATACACCACTTGATATGTTATCATTTGATGCCTCTAAATGAGACAACTGAACTATCTCCATTGGACAGTAATAAACTTAGAGTGAACCTTAGGTGATGGGTCTATTATTGGTGATGAGTCTGTGGTGGCTCATTCATAAATCCAAGTCACTGCATGACGCTACAGTCAATAAGTGCTGGAGATACATGTGTGAACTAGCCCTAAGTCAGTCATTCTACATCACTATGATCCAGCTATAAAAATTCTAAAGAGTCATAAATTGTCACAGATGTAACACAGCTTTCCCACCAATGTAAGTAAGATTTCCATCTAAAGAGCAGCATACAGCTATAGGAATGTGCTACATTCAGTCACAGAATTTTGAAACTTGAACCCTTATTTTCTTTGGGTGGAGAATCAATGCAAAGGCGGCGGCACAAATCCAAAGTCCAACATTTATCTGGCTATTGATGTTATTACTGTACCAAAAGTAGTACCTGATGTTTAACTAGAACCACACTTTCTTAACATACCCAAATAAATGGAGAGCTATTAACAACAGTCTAAGGAATACAAGTAATTTCTTAGCTTGTAAAACCACAGCAAATCAAAAGAAAACTTTGAGAGGCTAAAGTTGGATAGCTTTTGAACACGACATTCCAGTGAACAGAGTTTTCAATTTTCTTCACAAGCATGAACAATAGCGTTCAATGAAGCAGACTGAAATGCCATAAAAGCATGTTCTTTCATGGCCACACCTGTCAGCTCTGACTCCTTGATCAGTCAAGGTAAGCCTCATAAACTGGGAGGCACAGACCTCCGTAAAGACAGAAGCTAAAATGTATTTGGAACATGTTCAAGATTTCTCTCATTGACTTCTATTATCTTTGGAGCAGACACATGAAGACTTCCCTGGTGATGGGATGTCAACAACAACAACAACAACAACAACAACAACAACAACAACAACAACAGATTTATAAATCACTTTCTATGAGGCATCGGGGGGGGGATTACACATAAAACATTGACAATATAAAGCAACAAAAACAATAACTGCATATATAAAATAACTTTCCAGTCCAATACAGATGCCAAATGGGAAAACAAACTCAACTTTGAAGGTGTGTTGAAAGAGAAGTGTCCCACAGCAAGAGATGAAGGAAAGTTTAAATGTCAGAGGACACTGTACATAAAGTATTACCTCACCCACATAGCTGAACATCTTTATCAGAACTCGGATCCATGGACAGCCTTCTCATTCCACAAAATCTGTGTTTGCTTCTGATGACAGGAGCATCCCAAGTAGAGTTTTACTTACACGATGCTCCTGCCAGTGGAAGCAGGGGGGCTTCCTTCAGGCACTTGTACCCCCTAAAAATCTGCTCCAAAGAGTTGGGGGGCCCTCTGGAGCAGAATAAGCAGTGCTTCTGGAGGGAATCAATGTCTCTCCCATACACTCCTATAGATGGATTTGTTTCCTGTTCATAGAAGCCTAATTACAGAACATTGGCTTGGATCCTAACAAAATATTTTATTCTCTGTATTTCCAGCCCCAGTAAATAAAAATAAAAATAATTTTAAAAATGGTGGTTAGATTGGAAAATTTGGAGGGAGGAATCAAAAGGGAGCTATTAAATAAATAAAAGCAGTATTGTTAAATGTGGAGCTATTACAACGTTGCTTGCAAACTAACAGGAGGCACAAAAATGCAATTTTGTATCATTTAGTGGACTACAAAGAAACATTGCTATTAGTATGGTGCATACCACAACTGTTCATGCCAGTCCTTCACTTTTTTCATGACTGAGTTCATCCTTCGTTGACTTGTATGTAGCAGTAATTTTCAGATACTGAGGCATTTGGTATAACACACATTTGCCATTATGTAGCCATGCAATGTTTCTATTTGGCCAGGATATAACACACAGCGATGTATAAATACAAGATACAGTAATATGCAAGATACATACATACAATTGTAACTTGCACTTTGCACAAGAGGATGCCGGAAATGTTGCAACCACAAGAGAAAATCCCATCAGGTCACTCAAGGCACCTAGGCAGCCTTCCCTCTTCAAAACATGCAGAAAGACACACCTGCTATTTCAATGAAATTTGCATCCAGTTTCTGGAAGCAAATAAATAATTGTTATGCCGTGCTTCATCCGCTGTGCATGAGCACATATGTGCAATATCACATACTCCAGATTCTGAAAATTATCGCTGTGTATTAGCCCACAAATGGTATCAGTTTGAAGCTTTGCTGATAAAAGCACACAACTGGTTGGCTATCTGACTGCCCTGTTTATAAGAGAGATGAAGAATCTGTGGCCTTTCCAATATTGTTGACTTCCAGTTCCCATCATCCCCTACCGTTGGCTATGCTGGCTATGACTGATGAGAGCTGAAGCCCAACAACTTCTGGAGAACCACAGATTCCTTTATATGCAACATGAGAGTTCGGGTGCTTCTGCCCTGGGAAAAGGGGTATCTTATCTTGTTCATTTTATCCCGTTTGCATTTAATAAGTCACTTAAAACCAATCAAAATGGCCCAGGTGTATATCTGTCACAACCCTTTTGGTATGTGTGGTTGTTTAACACACAAACCATATGAACAGCAGGGCCATCCCAAGACTATGATGCTGCCCAATGAAAAAAACATTGGTGTGTCTTCATTCAGTATAGAGGTGCCAACTGCACTTGCATGTGATTGGCAATGGGATAGCATACTCCACCATGCTAGAGGGCAACAAGTTGGTTGGGGAAAGGTGCAGGACAGCCATGTGACACATACAAACACAGCATCAGCCACATGAGAGAGCCACCCTACCCTACCTACCAGCAGGAATGGCCCTGTATTGGCCTACATTTAGTCCCTGCAATTAACTTTATGCTGCTGAAGTAGATTTAGGCACAAGATCTTAATACAATCTTGAGCACCCATGATTACCTGACTTTGATGGCCTTGCCAGACACTTTAGTATTCATTTACCTGTGGATTGCTGGCACAATGTTTGGTTTTCAGTGGTAGCACTGGTAGCCAGTTAGGACTCAAGAGACCTTTGTTTTACATACTGGGATGCTAAACTTGCAAGTTATGTCATTTCTCATAACCGAGACACAAGTGAGATAAAGAGGTTGACTGGAGGTCTATGGCACAGTAGCAGGCCAGCCACATTGTGCCAAGCCTTGGAGATTTGTCTGTACACAAACGCATAATGTGTGGTTTTGAAAAGGACTGTGTATTCTTACTGTTTCATTTAAAGACATACTGATTGCAAAACTAGAAGCCCAAAGTTTATACCGCATTCCTGGAAAAAATAATACTCCAGAACATGCAAGAAAAATGATTGTTTACTTCAGGTGTCTGCCTGGAGAATTTAGAGCTAACAAGAGGTGTTTGGTTCAACACATTTTATGCACAAAGACTCCCTGGGTGGTCCTTACCATCAACATGCCCATAAGCACGATCTGTATATGACAATCCACAGCTGCTTCATTATGCTTCTACTTGAATTCCCAAGTCTAATTAAGAATACCGAATTCCCAAGTCTAATTAAGAATACCAACTACCTTTCATCTACACCTGCTAATAGAAGCTAATTGATTCAGATGTAAAGATAAAACAGGAACTGAGAAAGAAAATTAATATTAATTGAATTAAAAGTATGCATATCCTAATCAATTCCCTCTAGCAATGGGGGATCCTTTTTTCTATCCTCTTAGTACATTCCGAACTGAATGTGTGGGCCAGTCCTGCTATAAGCCATCGGTATTGCCAAGGAGGGGGGCAGCTGCCCCCACTAAATAAAAATACTTAACTGAGGTTTTCCTCCCCCTAACAAAAGCCTGCCCTCCCCGACAAAAATCCTGGCTACGCCCATGCTATAAGCCAGAGATTTCTTTCAAAGCTCCCTTCAGGTGGGAGGCTGTCCAATGCTGAGTTGCCGCCTGGTTTATGTTTCAAAGCATCAACTGGGCCAGATGTTGGCCAATCTGGTCTCTGCTTTCAAATGCATCCTTTCTCAGGAGGGAGGCTGGCCAACCTACCACCTGAGGAGAGATTTGAAAGTACAAACTGGGCTAGCAGATAGCTGGCCAATTCTGCATTTCCAAAGATGGAAACCGAAGTCCAGATAAAATTAAGCAATGGGCCAGATATAGCTTGTGGGTCATGGGAACCCTCCCAAAAACACTCTGTGGAAGTCAGTATTTGAATATTTTGCACGAATCGGATAAAGTTACTAAATCTGCAGTCCTATCCCAAATTATCTTAATCAGCAGGACTTGTAATCAAATCCTAAACATGTCTTCTCACAAGTAAGTCCTACAGAATTCATCGGGGCTTGCTCCCAGGTAAAGGAGGTTAGGGCTGCAGTCTTGATCCAGAAATGGGATTAAGCCCCAACTGAATTGAATAGGTCTTACTTCTGAGGGAGAACTGTGCTACAAATGCATCTGTGTTGAGTAATGCAGTCAATTGCTTTTATTTCTCAATTATGGCTCCAATGCTGGGCACATATTTTGTTCTCCAACCTAAGCAACCCCCACTGTAGCCTCTTACATGTGGCCGCAAGTCACCTGCAGCTGTGCACAACCAGTTACATGCAATACCTGTTTAGAATATTTATACCACCCCATTTCCTTATATTGAGTTTAGTGGCCCTAGTGCATTTATATCAAGACACTGACATACTGTCGGTCAATTGGGATCCAGATAACTATCACTGTATGAATGTAGCTACCTGCTTCTGCCCACAGATCTCTCAGGGTGTATTATTCCACCACCACTCCTTTTCTGCAATTTTACAACTATCCACTAGAATTTTCAAGGTCAGCAAATTGAAGGGATGGCTGTTTTGGTTTCTTTTCTTTTTTAGTAATTGCAGGTTTACTTGAGATGATCTTGTGTGATGGGAACTGTCAAACTTCAAACAGTTGTGATTTATTTTAGGAGGTGCCCTCAAGCCAGAAATACCATTAAAAAGTAAAGCTCTTAAAGCCAGGAGCTTTTTTTTTTTTTTAAGTGAAATGCTAAACTCTTTTCCAATAATGCAGTAAAGGCTACTACTGTCATTTTAGCATCAGAAAAACGAAGCTTTCCCAATTAAATTCCTTTTCCAATTAAAAACATTACTGAGGGTGGGGGAAGAAAACTGATTTTTTAAGCAATCTATAAAACTTTGCAATAATACAGCCCAAAAGTTCCACTACAATTCTAACCATGTCTACTCAGAAGAACATCCAACTGAATTCAGTGGCATTTACACTCAGGTAAGTGGGCTTAGGACAGCATGCTTAGAAGACCTGTCATTAATTTTAATTAGCTGTGGGTTGTATGTCTAGTCTCCATAATAAGAAGGAATATTAAAGCCTGACTTGTCACAATATCAGCACACATCAAAAACCCCGAAACTACCAATAATTTCCTAAAAGATTCACATGCCATTCTCTCAAACCATCCAATGTCATGAGTGCCAACCGATCATTCTTGACAAGCATGAGGAAGTATTGTACTAAACAAATTGTCCATGGTCTACTTTATTACATTCCAGGCAAAAAAACCAAAACCAAAAACCATGCACAAAAGATTTATTCCCCAGGTCTTCCGAACCACTTCCACTTTCCCTCTGTTGTGACGCCCCAAAAGCTCCCCACGTTTTAAAGTGAAAAATGCTGCAATGGAATCCTGCGAGCTACTCTCCTCCGCATACCATAACTGGGTGAAGTTTCCTGTTCTGTGGGAAAACGCATACCTGGCGTAACCTGCGCATAGGTGTGCACTTAAGCTCTCCAGCTGAGCTTTCCCCTCCATTCACCCTTTATCTACACAATTGCCCATGATGACTGACACTCCCTGACAAGATCTATACACAGTCAGCAGCGTGAAGACCAAAAAGAAACAGCACAAAACCCACAGCAAACAATCAGAGTACATCCCTCTTATTTACCGTCGCATACCACCAGCTTGCAAAAGCCATCCTGGGTTCCTGCTTCCTCCTCTCCGATCGATCCCTCCAAACTTCAGCTTCAGTAGCAGCAACTGCGCGCTCACAAACTCAGCGACGAGTGGCGGGATTGCATTGCTTCCTCTACTAGGGCGGGGCAGGTTGGCGGAGGGGGAAAGGGGGCGTGGCCTGGCCCTTGTTGCCATCGGCCCCGCCCCTCCACAGGCGGTGAAGCCAGAAAGGGCGAGGCGGGGGTGGGGGTGTTTGTGCCTGTTGCGGCTGCTCCTTTGGGTTTGGCGGCAGTGGCACAAAGTTAACCCCCAGCGGGCTTGGAGCGCATAAGTTCCGGGGGGAGAGGGAAGATCTGCGCTCGTGACGAGCAAGGGCGAGCTCTTTTTGCCTTCAGGGTACAGAACCTGTAGTGGGACCTCCCTGGTGCTGGCTGCGCTGCCTGAGCCCTGGGCTAAGTGCAACCATACATTCCCCCCCCCCCCAATAATAGATATTTATTCATATTTAAACACGAGAAAATGTAGCAACAGATGCCAAATAAAACGAAGCAGAAATACTGTACAGGGAGCCAAACAGACCAAATCACACCATACATTTGAAGCACACATCCCCAAACCACAGGAACTGTAGTTCGTTAAACTGTAGTTTGTAGTTGTAAGCTACAGATCCCGAAATTTTGGGAGTGGGCACTTTCAATGTATGGTGTGAACTGTAAATGTTGAGTGTGGCCTGAGGTAGGATTTCATGCCCCCCCGGCCTAATTCATAGTGGGCAGGCAGGTCCCAACGTTTCCTGTTCCTCTTCCCAAACCTGTTCCTCTTCCTTTCTTTCAGGAGGAAGGAAATGGCTCTGTCCTTTTCTCCTACAACTACCAGGGAGAGCTTCACCTATTCTGTTTCCCAGTTGGATGGGATGATGTTGGCAGCACACAACTAAGGAAAGGCACTCTGCACATGGCCAGACGCATGAGTGTAGCCAGGGGAGTGGGGAGGCATCTGCCCTCCCCCAAATCAATAATCAAATAAAAAATCAATAATAAAAATACTTAAAGAAAGATCGGTTCTGTCCCCTCTAACATAAATCCTGCCACCACCGCCCCCCAATAAATCCTTGCTAAGTCCATGGTCAGAGGTAAATGAAATGCTTTTTGTGTGTGGAGGGGTTTTTTTTATATCATTCAGGTCCTCTTTGAGGGGAAGGGGGCAGGTTACTTACTCTAGAGTAGATTGGGTTTAACCTCACTGCAACATTGTCCCCAAGTGCTTTATTCCACACGGTAATAATATGGACAAAATGAAGGGGGCATTATGAGAAAGAGAAGGGTTGTTCACACCAGCTGGCAACTGCAGAACTTGGTCACCGGGGAAAGTTGGCAGAGACAGGGAATGCTGAGGATTGGCTTTATTGCAGACAGGGAAGGGCTGGGACTGAGCTGTGGCTTTAGACACTGGTCTCAAATCAAACACGGAACTGAGCTACGCCAGGCTGCCATCTGCTGTTCTACAGAAACACAAGCAGCTGCCTTGCTTATTTTTCTTTAAAAAAAAAAGTTATTTAACAGAATTTATGTACGACTTGATTGCAATAAAGCCACTAGGTGGTTTACAAGAAATAATAAAATGATAAATAAACACAGTTAAAGACCATTAGAACAGTTTAAAAATAATTAAAAATAAGGGTAAAAAAAAGATTGAAGAACATCAGCTTGTCTGAATAGGCTTGCCTTAACAATAATGTTCTAAGCAGGCTCTGACTCAGACCATTGGTCCATGCAGCTCAGCACTGTTGGCAGAACCTCTTCAGGATCTTAACCAATGCTACCTAGGGATTGAACCTGGAACCTTCTACATCAGGCATAGGCAAACGCAGCCCTCCAGATGTTTTGGGACTACAATTCCCATCACCCCTGACCACTGGTCCTGTTACCTAGGGATCATGGGAGTTGTAGTCCCAAAACATCTGGAGGGCCGAGTTGGCCTATGCCTGTTCTAGATGCAAAGCCAGATGTTCTGCCCCTGAGCTACAGGCCTTCCTTGGTTAAAGGAGGAGAAGCTCTAAACTTTGTCTCCCTGGTTGTTTTGAAAGTGAAGAGTTATTGCCCAAGACATATCATTTCCCTTTATTTCTTCGAGAAAATGCCCTGGACAATCTCTTGCCGCAACTCCTTAGGTCTCAATTGGATTGCTGTCTCTCCCACTCTAGGGACTCCTCCAGATCACTTATTTATTGAACGTTCACCCTGATCTGCTTTCACAAACCTTTTGTGGCACTTGGACTATACCAGGTTTTTTACTGAGCATTCATTCTGATTTGTTTGTGCAGAGGTTTCATGACAATGAACATCAACCCTGATTTGCTTGTGGAGGATTTCTTCCTGTTAATCATTCCACACATTTCAGTTCAGTTCCTTGTAGTACCCTATCAGTTTCCTAACCTCAGAAACTTCTTTTTTAATAGTAGTTTTGTTGCACTAGGACAATGGGGACATTCAATCTACTTTAATTGCCACAACTTAAATTTCACATTATGTCTGAATCTCTTGAATGTGCTTGAATGCAAAATACATACAGTCTGGAGGGATCCTAGAAAGCTGCTTACATCACCCATCATAGATTTGTAGAGTCGGGACCACAAGGATCATCTAGTCCAACTCCCTGCAATACAGGACTCTTTCACCCAACGTGGGATTCGAACCCACAACCCTGAGTTTTAAGAGTCTCACACTCTACCAACTGAGCTTGCTTACAGCCAGCAACACATTTTCAGGGCCCATGTTTGGTCCTGGAATGCATGATGTGTTGATGACAAATGCCTCTGAGCACATACAGAGTGCCTCCCAATAGAGCAGCCAGAGGCAACCCGCTGTTAGTAGGCAAGACTTCCAAATCAGAAAGCAGGGCCTCGGGGCAAGCCTGACCCCTTCAGTTTACCAACTGCAGAGAAGAACCAGCACATCTTGTGCCATTTTCAAGACTAACATTTTGGTGTGGCATAAACTTTCAGGGACTGGAACCGAATTGTTCCTTCTTTCTTTCTTTCTTTCTTTCTTTCTTTCTTTAAAAATGGCACAATACAGCCATTGTCACCGCCTCAACAGAGTAACAAGGGCTACCCCCTCTGGAATTTGTCCAGAAATGGTTAGTCACCGAGCGAACCTCACACACCCAGAGCCTAAGGGAGCCGCCCTGAGCTTTAATCTCCACCCGCCATGATACGACGGGGAGGAAGACCGCTCGCTCGCTCCGCCAGTCTCCCTCCCCACAATCCCTCGCGGGGGACAACTCTGCCGAGCTCTGCCCGGACCTCTAGTCCTGAGTCGAGACGCGCAGATAAGACACGCGTTGCGTCTCTTCCCAGGGCCGGAGCGAGAATGTTAGCCGTCTGTTGGTGGGCGGCCCTCTCCGAAATACGCCCCACTAGGAAGGAGGGGAACTGTCACCTTCTCTCAGGACTGCCATGTTCCTGGGGGCGAGTGTGGGGCAGACTCCCTGGCCTACCCTCTCCCTCAGGGGCTGCGTCTGAAGGGGTAACGGGCCAGTTGCGCCAACCTTGCGCGCGCGTACAAAGCTCCCTCACTTGCGCCGCTGCCCTCGCCCCACCCAGCCCCACCCACTGTTCTCGCTTGTCTCCTCTCCTTCTGCCTCAGCCCCACAGGGCGCCGGGGGGCACATTCCTCAGCCCCCCAGCCCGCTTCTCTCCCTCAGCCTCTTGCCCCGCGGCAAAAAACCACACCAATAAAAACAACCGCAGGGAACTTCGTCTGACAGACTCGCTCCCAGGCCGTCCGCTCGCTCGCCTTCCTCTCCGCCCGCGCCGCTACTTACGGATCTGCCTTCTTTGGCGGGAGTTTTCTTGCCTTTCTGCGGCTGGGACATGTTGACAGGCGGGTGGGTTTGTTTCCCCCCTCACGTCCTCTGTGGCGCGAGGACGAGGCAATAATAACTCCCGCCAGAGGGAAGGCGAGCGAAGCGGGCAGGGTCCGGGCGGCTATGAAGCAGCTTTTCCGACGGCCACCCCCCCGGTGGTGCCAAAAGCCAGGCACCGCTAGGTCCCTCCTCTTCCTGCAGCCGCCGCTTTAGCAACAAGCAACCGAGAAAAAGCTCTCGGCTTCGGTTGTTTGTGGAGAAGGGAGGGGAGCGAGGCTCAACAAAAGAGACTCGGTGGCGAGTTTGTTTTGTTTCGTTCTCTGGCTAAGACGTTCAGCTGAGACTCTTGACCCGGCTGGGCGAGGCTACATTTTTATCTTGTTTGAACTGAGCGCAGTTCTCTCAGGCAGACGGGGCGCTGAGCGAGGAAGAAGACGATCCCACTTTCTTGCTACTTTGGAGAGACTTTGTTTCTGGCAGGCAAAGACGAAGCCTCAGCCTCAAAACAGGAAAGTTCGAAGGTTGTCGAGGGCCTAGTTGCTGCTGATTTTACTGCTGGATTGTTTAAGAGGGCATGTAAATGGTAGTGTATTAGCCAGAGCATTTGGGTGCTCCCTAGTTTGTCCATTCCCCTCTTCCCCCCTTTTCTTCCTAACCGAACACTGCATGTAACACTAATGTCTCACAACAAACAAAATTGATCTGCAGAAAATGCAACTTGAAAAAACAGGCAATGCATGTATTTTTCTAAACTAAGAAATCTTTAATAAAAACATTTTTTGTAAGAAAAAAAAAGAACAGGAAAGTTGCCTGGCCACTTCTTGAAAGGGGCAATGGTAGCAAACAGCAAAGCAACTTTCAAAAAGCCCAGAAGATTGAAATCATAGGCCAAAACATCTGGGGGTTGAACTTCTAGCCCAGCCAGTCCTCCTCCTACAGGATAAGACTTGGCTCAGTTCAAGCAAGATAAAAATGTGCCTCGCCCACCAGAAGCTTAATATTTTTCAGCAGATTAAAACCTACCAGATATGTTTGCACAAATAAAGGAAGCCACTGCTTCCTGAAGCCACACAAGTCTGGACCAGATCGGTGCCTGGATGGGGGAGTGCATACCCTCCAAAATTTCTCTGGTAAAAATAGGGATGTCCTATTTCATCATCATCATAATTTTATTATTTATACCCCACCAATCTGACTGGGATAACAACAACAACAACAACAACAACAACAGTAATAATAATTTATTTATACACCGCCATCTGGCTGGGTTTTCCCAGCCACTCTGGGCAGCTTCCAACAGAATATTAAAACACAATACAGTATCAAACATTAAAAACTTCCCTAAACAGGGCCGCCTTCAGATGTCTTTTAAAAGTAAGACACCAGTAGTTGCTTATTGCCTTGACATCTGCTGGGAGGGCGTTCCCTCGGCCACTACCTAGAAGGCCCTCTTCCTGTTTCCCTGTAACCTCACTTCTCGCAATGAGGGAACCGCCAGAAGGCCCTCGGAGCTGGACCTCAGTGTCCGGGCTGAAGGATGGGGGTGGAGATGCTCCTTCAGGTATACAGGACCGAGGCCATTTAGGGCTTTAAAGGTCAGCACCAACACTTTGAATTGTGCTCAGAAATGTACTGGGAGCCAATGCAGATCTCTCAGAACCAGTGTTATATTGTCTCGGCAGCCGCTCCAAGTCACCAGTCTAGCTGCCGCATTCTGGATTAGTTGTAGTTTCCGGGTCACCTTCAAAGGTAGCCCCAAGTAGAGCGCATTGCAGTAGTCCAAGTGGGCAATAACTAGAGCATGCACCACTCTGGAAAAACAGTCTGCGGGCAGGTAGGGTCTCAGCCTGCATACCAGATGGAGCATACCCTGGGTAGCTTCCAACATATATAACAACATAATTAAACATTTATAAAACTTCCCTATGCAGGGCTGCGCCTTCTGAAGGTTGCATAGTTACTTTTCTCCTTGGCTCGGGGGTTCACATAACTCCATACCCTCCAACATTTCTCTGATGCAAATAGGGACGTCCTAAGGAAAAGTGGGACATTCTGGGGTCAAATCAGAAACCAGGATGGCTTCTGTAAATCTGGGGCTATCCCTGGAAAATAGGGGCACTTGGAGGGTCTGGGAGTGAAGTCCTGGGTATGCCACCACAGTAAAGGAAGAATATAAGAAGAAAGGGCCAAAATCTTAGTGTACACGCCTGGAAATAAGCCCTGTTGAACTCAGTGGGACTTGCTCCTGAGTAGACATGTGTAGGATTGTGCTTTAAGTGCAATTTCAACCCAAATGTATGCTTGTTTAGAACATTTCAGTACTGTTGCCAAAATAGTTTGAACTTGGGCGTAAATAAATAAATAAGCTAATAAGCTGCTAGTAAAAGAAAGTGAAATGTACAAATCTGTCCAGATATAAACCTAATAAACCATGGAAATGTGAGCCTACAGCATTAAATCATCTGTGAGATTAAAATATCGTACTCGCTAATGGATCCACCTATGAAACTGGTGGTAGGATTCTGATCTTTTTACTCCCTCACAACATGGTGTGGCATTAAAATGTTAGCTGCCGAGAGCCGGAATTGCTTGATTACACATTTATTTGCTTTTGAGTGTTTAAATTGCCCTTGTGCCTTGACTATGCCATCTGTGCCTTAACTATGTATTTAGCCCAGAATTTCACCACTAATATGGAAAGTGAGCCCACCCAAGCAATTCCCACTTCAAGCATGGTTAAACACAAGGTCCCTCCAAATATCCTTTTTATTGTGCCATTTTCATTTCTTTTTGCACCTGCAAAAGTTTTGCGGCAGACCTGCAGCTTCATTTCTTGTACCTTCTTTTTTTAAAAAACCGCAGGTGTTTCGGTTTATTTATTTTATTGCCTTGGTTGTGCTATAGTGCAAGAGTGGCAATAATGCGGTGGCACCAAAGAGGCATTGCAGAACAACTAATAAAGCATAATGATGTATGAATGGTACCGTATAAATCCACACTAATGCACTATTATTGTTCCAATGACATGCTGAAGGATACATTTGGGAAGGGGGGGGTGTCAGTCTCGAGGGGCTCACAATAATGACGATGATTACGCCAACTATGACACACACTCATACGGTTCCAGTGCTGACACAAATCCTACTTGGCCACTGCAGAATTCAGAGAGAAGGCGCCTGGAAAAAGGATGAAGAGCACTGAACATAATGCCTGCATAACAACAGTCATGCTATCACAAATCACAAGATAGCTGGTTTAGATGCCAGGGCTGTAGCTGCCCTTTGCACACATTGTACAATTGCAAGAGTCAGAGAGTTTTGTCTAGCATGAAACAGGATGGTGACCGGCTTGTGCAGCCCCTGCACTGATGAGAAAGTCCACACATATGAGTCCAAAACTGTGAAGCGCAGCAAGCTATGCTTTTCCCGCTAACTTCCATAAAGAGGCTCTCTATATTGTACGTTGCCTTTTTTTATTTTATTTTTACAAACCCATCTCCACCGAATGTGTGTCCCAATGTGTCTCTTGAGTGCAGAGGGTGCCTGTACCATTTGTAGCAGCTTCCAGTGTGTGTCACATGTATCATATGCACCTTGTAAGATAAGCCATTATTATTATACCCAGATTAGACCCATTATTATACCTAAATTGCAGCCTTTTCAGTGGTGAAGCCCTGATGTTGAAATACTCTCCCTGGAGAAGTTTGACATATTTTGATGTCAAGTGATAGCCTTCATATTTCCCCAAGTCTTTTAGATTTGATTATTTTTTTTATAAAAAACACCCTCTGGTTGCTTCCAGATGGATCTGTTTATTGAGCATTCATCCTGATTTTTATTTTTATTTTTTTTCTGGACAGTTAGGCAACATTTCTTATTTATTGAGTGGTTTGCAGGAAGGTTACATAGCATTGTATCAAGCATTTGATACAATCAAGCATTGTATCAAAAAGTTCCTGTCTTTTTTCTTATTGCAAAAGATCAGTTTTAGAGGAAAGTGGGTTTGTTGCACAAGAGTACTAAATCATCTTTAAGTCTGCAACCTGAATTTACCAGTATGTGATTAAAAAGCTGTTTAATTCATTGTTTTTTTATAAACCCACTCTTAGAACTTTATTTGTGGGTTTTAATTGTTGTAAGTAACTCTGAAAATCCTCTGGATTGAAAAGCAGAGCAGCAAAAGAAAGAATAAAAGAAAGAAAGAAAGAAAGAAAGAAAGAAAGAAAGAAAGAAAGAAAAGAAAGAAAGAGGAAGGAAGGAAGGAAGGAAGGAAGGAAGGAAGGAAGGAAGGAAGATAGCTAAAGGTGGAACCTGCTACTCTGAGTTTGTGGTTCTGATCTGAAGTGGGGACTTTCAGCTCATAGCTCATGCACTTAACATGTGTCCAGAAAGTAAGTAAAGAGAATGCAACAAAAGAAAGGGTGTGTCTTATTCGAAACATAAATGATCTTTATGTAATTCTCCGAATAGGTATGCCTTTTAATTGTAAGCAACAGCTGAGCATCAGCAGCCAACAGGTCTAACAAGACTGCACTGCATTCCTGAGGGTTCAACATGAAGGATCCTACTCCCTGTTATAAATGCTGCAAAAGAATCAAGCATTCTTTTCAATGCACTTTTCTGGAAGAACCAAGGAACGCACACACACACACACACACACACACACACACACACACACTAACAGATCTCAGACACAGGATCCCAAATTCTTCATTTTAGATCATTTTAGTTGAACTGCATTTTTCTGATCACAGTTCACTGAAACAAATTTAAACATTTTCCAGAATGGTAGCCATGTCTCATACCCTCCAACATTTCTCTGATGAAAACAGGGACGTCTTGTTCCCTAATGATAATTTTACTATTTATACTCCATGCATCTTACTGGGTTGCCTCAGCCACTCTGGGCAGATTCCAACATATATAAAAACATATATAAAAATTAAACTTTTTTTTAAAAAAAAAAACAACTTTCCTCTACAGGATTGCCTTTAGACTGCTCAGGGGTTAGATAACTCCATACCCTCCAACATTTCTCCAAGGAAAATAGGGGCATCCTAAGGAAAAGCGGGACATTCTAGGATCAATCCTGCACCCACTTACCTTGGAATAAACCCCTCTAAAATTAATGGCTTCTGAGTAGATATAGATGGGATTGCACTGTTATAATGGTATACTTTTTTTGCACCAAATTCCGCCCAATCTCACATGCCCAACTAGCAAGGAAAAGCAAAAAATATTTATGTATATAGCTAATTAGGCTCTTAAGCAATCTCAGGCAATCTTTATCATGTTTACATTACAGCATTAGCTTGTGGTT